ACCAACACATGTCAGTGAGCACGGGGAGGGAGAGATAATTAAAATAAAGTCATGAATGAAATAAGAATGTTAAGAGAAATATAAATATTCATGTTACTTGCCATTTTCATTGTTGTGTAACATTTCATTAAACTAGTTTTCCTTCCAGATCTCTGGAAGGAACCAGATTTGAATAAAGCTCCTGTTTAGATGCAGTACAGATGAAAAAATTGGTTGTCCATGGAGCTGATATTGTAAAAAACAAATTTTTTTTAAAATTTCTAGTTTCTAGAGTTTCTAGTGAGAAATATTTGTAAAAGATTGGCCTCACGTTAGATTCTAGAGCTAAAAGTTTTCAACAAGGTCGTTTTAGACCTCAGTTTCAAACTAATTAACTCTGGCAGGAAGTATGTAAGGATCTTAAGTTTTACTAACATTTATTTTTATTTTAAATCTTTACTATCACTTCTTATTTTCTACTTCCGGCCAGAATTAAAAGCTTTAACTTATTTATGCAAAATTTGTCTGGCGAACGCCAAGTACTTAAGTTGTGGCTTTTTGCCAAGCAAGAGAGAGGAAGGAGTTAGTCGAAGCAGGCCGCTTACCTTAGCAGTTTTACTCGGTTGCTGGTTGCCTTCCAGGCCAGAGGTTTTAATCCTCGGATAATTTTAAACGTATTGTAGTGTTAACAGTTCTCTGTACTACATACGGCTTCCTGTTAATATACGGCCAATCTTCCACGTAGGCCCTTGTTTTATTATTTCAAAGTTAAGTTAGAGTTTAGTTAAATATTTTTATATTCTTACGTTCAGACCACAAATAGTTGGTCTCTGTATTCCGAAGTATACGAATTTATTGAAAAAGTGTGTAAACCCTTCGTCGTTGTCTATTCCCACATTTATTGAACATAGCTTTAGTAAGCTCCCTGTTCCAAGTCAGGTTCTTCAATGGTCCCCAAGCAAGTAAGGAGAAACACTCAACCTGATAGCATCAGGTGACAAAATATTTAGTGTCAGCTGTCGGTGAGATTAAGTATATATATGGGAATTTATTTATTCAGGACTTGGATAAGCCTTAAGCATGTGCAAGAATTAGACATAATTATAATAAATAACTAAATTAATGAAAATTAGGCTGGATTGTCTCAGTGCACAATAGAAGCAAGACAAAATTTAATGGAACATTTTGTCTTTCGTCTCCATGCTACATAACCAGTCATGTATAGTAGATGATGTTAAACTAGGCAAAAATTATACTTTCCTAATTCCAAAGAATTTCAATTAATATAGTAGATTGTGCTGTTCCTTAACTTTCTGATATGATCCAGCTTATTATTTTTTGCAGGCTGTTATAATTACTGCAAAAACTCAAGTTTTGAACTTTCGATTATGTTGAAAAGAATTTCTAATTCTGGTGCTGCAACAGGATCTACAAAATGAAAGCATATTTCAAAGCTCAGTAAACAAAAAGTGGAATTCCTGCAAAAAATGGATGTAGGTATAGCCATCTCAAAGTTATGCTACGAGTATGGCATTGGAAAGTCAACTGTATATGACATAACAGAAAAACGACCTTTTTTAATTTTTTGTGGATTCTGACACCCTGCTCTCAATGAATAACAGAAAAATTATTCATATGCTAAAAGTGACGATCATGACAAAGTGATGATTGAATGGTCAGACAGAGATGCAGCGAAGGTGTGCCATTAACGGGTCCAATGTTAATGGCTCAAACCAAAATATTTCGTGAAGAAATGAACTTGAAAACTGAGTAAACCAAATTTTAAAATCTCCATGGTATAATGCAATTAAAAATTTCAGTTTAAAAAGCTTCAGCTCATACTGAAGCTGCTGAACTATTTGCAGATGACTTCATTGAACTCATTAATAGTGAAATGTTATCTTCAGAATAAATTTACTACGTTGATGAAATGGTTCTTTTCTGGCAATATGTACCGTGAAATACCTGGGCAACTTTTGCTCCAACTGGTGTCAAAGATTCCAAAGCTAGACAAACAATTTTAGCATGCGTAAATGCTGCAGGAACGCACAACTGTAAACTTTTCGTAAACGGAAAAAATACATGACCTAGAGCATTTAAAGGAGTAAAGATTTTTCCGTTATATATTGTGCAAAAAAAGAGCATGGATGACACAAATATTAATGTATGATTGGTTTGAAAATCATTTCATATCAGAGGCTAGGCAAACTTTGAATTTGGTTGGTTTATCTGATGATGCAGAAATTGTCCTAATTGTAGATGACAGTTCGGCTCATATTTCACTTAAAGTTTTAATGAAAGATAATGTATCTGTGTCATTCTTTCCTCTATACTGTATGTCCTCATTGAGCCTATGGATATTGGAATAGTGTGCATGCTGAAGTGCAAATGTAAAGTAGCATTTTTAAAATCCATGTTAAATTTCTTGAATAATGGCAAGATCATTCAAGAATTTTTGAAATATTTTAGCATAAAATCTGCTCTGCGGAGCATTTCAAGATCATGGAAGGATGCGCCTCCAGATACTTTAAAAAATGCTTGGCATAATTTATGGCCAGCTACCATATTTCATAGTGAGAATGATGAAGATGATAGCCGTGAATTTGAAGACTTTTGGATATCGCAAACCACATTGGAAATTTTTCCAAATAATGGATTTTGTAAAGAAATGTGAAGAAGCGGTAATAAATGAAGATGATATAACAGAAGTTTTTCATTGCGACAACAAAGCCCCAATCATCAATCAATTAACGGATGACGAAATCTGTAGTATGGTTCTAGATCCAGAAAATACCTTTACCGATAATTAAGAAAGTGGTTAAAGAAAATGAAAAAATTTCGATTGACAACTTAGTCATAATTCTCGACACAGCAAGTACAGGACTTGGAACAGTAGAACTTTGTAACTGAACAAGAAATTATGTCTGTCTATAGAATTAAAGAGAAAGTATTATCACAAAAAATGAAACCAACTTATAGTGGAGACATGTTTAATAAATTAAAAAAAAAATATATTTAGCTTTTTTTTTTGTGTGTGTGTAAATTTTGATATTCTTTAGATCATAAATGCTTCATCATAAGTCATGTTTTCATATTTTTAATTTTATAATTTATACATGGCATTTTACTAGATTTAAACTGATGATCTGATATTCGAAAAAATCCCAAATCCAGAAGTCTCGACGAGTCTGGATCTCGGACCTTGTTCTGTACACTAAAAAAACTAGTTGTTAGCATGCCATCTAGACTGAAAGCCATTATTAATTGTATAAGAAACATTCGACAAAATATTAATTTATAATATAAATCCGTTTTTTCCCATTTTAGATAAAAGTCAAATACTTTTCTTGACCCGTGCTATGGAATCTAAAATATTTTTGCTGTTTTAGGGTTGTATAAATTTTTTAAATTTCTTTGGAAATATGCCTGAGGCATATCTTCATTTTGTAATTTTCATATTGTGCAAATAATATTCTTAATTTATTTGCAATTAATAATTGTTTAATGTTTTTTATGACATGTTGTTTAGAGAATCGAATGAAGGTCGAATACTTTTTGGAGTAACCGTAAATGTACAAATTTATGTGGTGAAAACAGATTTGAGTACATATTTGTTCCATTATTTCAACTAAAGTTTTTATTGCAATTTTAGACACTAGGTGTTTTGAAACATTTTAACACATATTTTTCTTCCTTTTTTCAATGGTCAAGTACCTTCTTTGAGTTGAAATACTTAAAAACAAAATGGAAATGTAATTTGACAGTGAATCAAAATGGGAGACAAAATGATGTCAAAAAGCAAGTGGATTGACTTTGGGAGAGGGTTGCAAAATTTTTGTTAAATTACTTTTAAAATTTGTGTCAAACTAAAGAAAAACTATTAAAATTAAATTTCTGTGTGAAATATCTTCCCAAGTAAGAACAGCAAATTGGTAAATTATTTAGTTCACAATGGCTAGTAAACCTAAATCTCTATCATAGAATCAGATTAACTACCCATTATGAATTAGAGAAGCAATGATTTTAGGTATCAGTATGCTGTCTCATTATCAGCACCACTTCAGGAAGCAGCCATATAATATTTTTGGTAACAATTATTTAACACTGAAAATTTTCAAAATGTCATTTGGTGACTTTAATTGATAGTAATATGTATCAGTATTTTAGAGTTTGGCACCAGAGCCTTTTTAAGGTGGTATTGCTTATAAAGAAGTCTCAATTTTACCTCCACTTTTGAAGTTTATGTTAAGATTGGATTACTTAGATTATTAAAAAGCATACTAGGTATATTTGTCCTGTGTATATTGAGAAAAGAGATGCTTTCATGCATAATTCTCTAAAGGAAACTGTTTTTATGTTACAAATGGGGAAAATCATGAAAACTCCAATGCAGCCAATCCAGGATTTGAACACAGATCATACTACCTGTATTCAATAGTTTTACCACTTGGCTACTGTTAGACTCAAGTTCATGTTTGGTATAATACATAAAGTGAGCCTTATGTATCTTTTATATTGTATAAGGTTGGGTGTATCCCAGAAGAAACATGTTTTGTTTTTGACAGTGAAAGATACTGGAAAAAATGCAGAAGAATGGGTAGAAACAATGATGCATCTGAGGAGTTGCTAGAGGAGAAAAATTTACAAATAACAGTTTAATTTATTTGAAATTCAGTGTTTTGGTATATATCTAATAAAATGTTTTATTTTATTACCACATATTACACTGTGTTGATGATGTAGATTCAGTTTTGTAATAATTAATTCAGTTTTTCTTTTCTTTCTGAATAAATATGTTAATTTCCTTACTTATTGTGAACTAAAATTTAATTTCCAAATTCACAGGTACAAAAATTTATCTCATGGCAAGTGCTTAGTATTTTATATATAACTGTGCCGAATTATTAGGCACAGGTAATTAAGTATTAGTCTTTTTAGATAGTTTTGATAATTTTAACAATTAAAACTAAAATTTGATACGAGTTCAATATCCATGCTTTATTGTGAAACTTTTATTACAGGTCAGTTTTATTCTGACAAGTTATACAAACTGTTGAAGACAAAATTTTCAATGAATGAAAAATATTTTCACTGGTTACTCTCACCATATTGGAAAGAAATTGCTTTCCGAGATTTTTTGTCACCTGATACATTCAAGAAGCTCCAAGCTGTAGGAGGAGTAAGTCAGTTTTTATATTTTACAGATATTTTGAGAAATTGTTTCTTAAAACAACCCTCCTATTAGTTGTCACCAAATGAAACGTTTCTTCAGTTAGCAAATATTTTCGTATGCTTTCTTTTTGTTGTATTCTAAGTTCCATTGGTTTTTATGGACAAGTTGTAATGTACATTAAGGTACGGGCTTGTTGCATTTTCCTTAAATGGACATACAGTAGAACCTCTATTAATCAGAGGTAATTGGGACCATAATCACATTGGGTGAACAACTACTCAGTTAACAGAATCTACATTTTAAATCGTACCAGTTTTTCTTTTGATGAGGCTTTCTGAAATTTTTTATTTGAGATTCTAAAAATAGGTGTGCACAAGTTTATTTTAACAAAGTTTTTTAGTGGTAGGTAACATTTTTATCTTCAATTAACAAATAATCCATACAAGATTTTTGTAATAAAAATATTAATTTAAAAACTGTCATAAGAAAAAAAAAAAAAAAAAAACTCCTTTACAATTTATGCAGATTAAAAGTTAACATGTTTTTAAAAAAAGTATTTTTAAGATACTTTTTTAAAAACATGTTAACTTTTTTTTAAATGATCTTATAACTTAATCAGCTGTTGGATGATCATGTCAGTTTTTGATCAACAAAAGATCCGTAAGAGAGTTGCTTTAAACTCCAAAGAGGCACAGCTTTAGCACCTATAGTGGACGAGAGATGAAAATGCTGAATGTTAATAGTGTGGCCTGGCTTAAAATTCCAACAAATGGGAAGTTTTTATGATATTCTGTAATGCATAACATATATATGAGCCAGTTTCCTTTAAAAAGGCTTGAACATTGCTGTCTTCTAGATCTATTTACTCTGCAACATTATCATTTAATCCTATGAGATATGTCTACTATTATTGCAGTAAAATTTCTTCAAGAATGTACTATTCTCGAAATTGAAGGAAAGACTTGCTGGGCAGTCTGTTTTTAAAGCAGTTGGCTCAAAATTTCTGCCTGAACACAAATAAATAAGTAAAGCTAGTAACTAAGTTCATTGATTAATTTTATGGATAAATATCTAAATTAAAACATAAAATATATCTGTAATTTTTTTTGCAATGATTAAGCAAAAAATTACCAACTATGCCAGGGTGGTGATGGTAATCAATTAGCCATGGATTTATCAGTTGAATAGAATAAAAAATTTATCATCTTCAAAAAATAAACTCCTGAAGTGAAATTTCTGTACACACATCTTTAAGACTTGCTAAAAGGTACATATTTCTATTGATATTGAATTAGACATTTTAGGCTGGAAGACTTAAAAAGCTGATACTTTCAATTTAGCATATGCATTTTGAGATCAGTCTTCATTCAGTAGTGTTTAGTTCTGCATGTGCAAATTTCTGCAGAACCACTTTTGATTGTTAACATTGAAACTAACTTTAAACCATCAAAGCCAAATATTACTTGTACTTTTTGCTTTTCTTACCTAAAATGGAACAAATCAACACATGCAGGAATTTTTCCTTTATGAAACTCATAACAAATGTAGTAATGAATATGTCTTCCTGCGTCTGCCATTTTTCATTTACTGACATTAAGTATACATCTGTTAATACAACTTCTACATGATTTTTATTATTCTGAATCATAAGAGTAACTTACAAGTTGGCTTTATGCATTATACAAAAAGTACTTTAAAACTTACTTGTATATATAATATAAATGCTAGTTATTATTTATGTTTTTCAAAACAACAAAATGGTACATTTATACCGCAATTAACCTTATTTCAAAATGTTTTATCAATCTGTAATGGACATTATAAATGAATTTTAAAAAATATTACATAAATCTATAAAAGTTATTAATATTGTTATTATAAAATTGTTACTTATATATTGATTCTGTATACAGTCATCTTTCTTTTCATATGAATTTCTTTCTTATAATCACCTACCTGAAGTTTTTTTTTTTTTTTTTTACTTTAATCTGGTTTACTCAAAGAAAATTTTATAAAAAGAGGGATGAATGTAATTAGCAGTTTATGTTTAAAAAAAAATGCTGTAATTGTGTAATTCATAAGTAACAAGAATATATCTCTTTACAGTTTGTAACATCTCTCTGTTTGAAGTATTCACTTGCAAATGATGATATGCTTTTTGCTATTATTTCTTGTGTGCCAAATGTCAAGCATCTTGATTTAACTGAAACAAATTGTTCTGATAAAGTTGTAGCTTTCATTAGGAAAGCATGTCCATTTCTTGTTTCCCTTAACCTAGAAAGCTGCTCAAATGTAACAGATGAAGGAGTGATAAGGTTAAGCAGTTCAGACAAGCAATTTCCAAACTATGATAATCTAAAATTCTTAAATATTAAACATACAAGTGTTTCCTATTGTGGTGTAATTTTTATCCTGCAACATTTACCATCTCTTCAGTACGTAAAATATGATCATTTTGCAACTGCCTTGCATCTCTTGCATTCGGGACAACTTCATGAGAGTTCACAAAAAAAGTATAACCTAGCATTGTTTGAACATACATTTGCAGCTAAGGCAGCAATAGGTGATGTATTAGAAACTTGGACAGTGTTGTGTCCAAAAGTAACAAATGCTATTATTCATGATATGCCATCAGAATATGAATTTAGATTGTTACAAAAGTTTAGTCATTTGAAAAAGCTTGCAGTGTCTTTCCCATGTCGATATATACCATCGTGTACAAGATTCTTTATACAGATATCTCCGTACCTTACATGCAATGGACATATGCTTACAGTTTTAAAGTTTCGAAATGTTACAGTATCAGTGAAAGAGCTGACAAAATTCTGTCCTAACTTACAATGTTTACATTTATTGGAAGTTATGTATGCAGATTTTGAAGAGAAAGATTTACATGAAGAACAACATAGGCTTGAAAATTTAGAGACATTAAAATTATTTAACACAAATTTGCAATATAACTTTAAATCATTTAATTTATTATTTACTTCAGCCAAGAAATTGAAAAAACTGTACTTTAAGTTTATAGAAGAGTTTTCTGAAAAAATTGCTGATCTGATTTTAAATTCTTCACAAACTTTAACAGAGGTTAATTTTATATACACTGATATAAGATCTACCTCTTTGAAAAAATTCTTTGCCCTGCCTAATATCTACAAAATACGTTCAGACACAAACAGATTTATACCATATGAGAACAATACTGTGTTGTTGAATCCACTTAACCACACTGAATCTCGAAATACTCTGTCTTGGCAAGAAGAATATGTAGAAAACTGTTCGTCTGATGAAACTTCTGGAGATGATATGTATTAACAGTAAAAGCAAGGAAATAAATGTATAAAAATTGAATCTTAAATTATAAATATTTAGTATTCATTTAAGTGTTAAAAATAGCATTTTATTGGCAGCTAAAAGTTCATACATTGAAAAATTATTTTTAAATATCATTTGTACTCATTCAGTTATAATGTGATGGACATATATGCCATAACTGCCAACTCTACCGTTTCTCATGACATTTCTCGGTTGATTACTGAATCCCCAATTTTTAATTTTGACTTTAATCAGAAAAATATTTTCCAATAATAAATGAAATTCACTGAATTAATAAAACTAAGATTTGTCCAAATTCCATTTCCCTGACCCTAATGGATTTTCCGTATAATTTTTTAAATAAATTTTACTTAGTATGATTCTGTTTATTGTAGATATCTGTAGAACTTGTTTTGAAGTTTCAAACAATATACAATCAGTTAATATTTGTATTTAACTTTGTTTTACATCAAGAAATGATTCACTTAATTTACACACACAATATTAAAAAAAAATTGCTATTTTTTTTTCATCATATTTAAAACTACTTTGATAAATAAAAGCTTTCCTTTCCTATTTCTCAGTATAAAACTGTAACAAAATTACAAAATAAAATTAACCAAAAAATTTGTAATATCTAATTAAATTAAGACACAATAACACGCCGAATAAATACTAATTCAGAAGTCAAACAACAAAAATCAGCGTTATATTCACAAAATTTTTTTCACAGGACTAGTTTCGATGGTTTTACCGAACCGTCATCTTCAGCTGCAAAACCGCAAATGAAATGATTGCGCAAATGAATGATTTGCGGTTTTGCAGCTGAAGATGATGGTTCGGTAAAACCATCGAAACTAGTCCTGTGAAAAAAATTTTGTGAATATAACGCTGATTTTTGTTGTTTGACTTCTGAATTAGTATCTAATTAAATATTAACATATTTTATATAAATATCATATTATAAATAGTTCAATAACCTAAATCATGCATTATAAAGTCAGTGAGTTAGGAGTACTTTTGCAAGGTTATCACTTCGCAGCAGATAATAACCTTCCCCCTATTCCCAGATTTCCTGTGAGAACCTCCAATTTTTCATATTTCAAAGTTCTCAGCTAAAATATATATATATGTGTAGAAGAGCTACACACATATATATAGCTGACTGTATGTCAGCTAAAATACATATATATGTGTTGTGTTAAGAAGTGATTATATGTGTTGTGTTAAGAAGTGAAGTCTATATTTTTGAAAATTAATTCACCAGTGATAAATTATACTTGAAAATGGAATTTCATAATTTGCAATAAACGCTTTGAACTTTTATCATGCTGGAAACATACAGATAAATCGAAGGGTAAGACATATATATATATATATATATAATATTTATTTATTACCTTTAATATCCATACCAGGCATTGCTTGATTGTATCCAGTTATCAGCCTAATCATGATACTCATCTGAGAAAAAAATGTTTGTGCATTTTTCCACAGGTGATAGAAAAAAAGAACATTAGAAAATTTCTTTAACATGCAAAATCTTTGGTATTATTTTGTGAGTTGTGACAAAATTCAGGGTCCAACTGTGCAAATTATAATGTTGCATGAAGTAGACTGAAACAGTGTGAGGAACCAAAAACTCATTTCTGGTTCTTTTACATTTTAAATATCAAAATATTCCTGGCATGAATAAAATAAACTGAAATATATTTTTAACAATGGCTATTTGCATCCATTCTGAAATTGTGTTATAGTTTCTCTTACTTGGGATGATTATGTTTTTTGCTTCATGTAAGCTCATCAGATTGTCTAGAAACAATTTCTGTTAGGTCTTTTAAGGTTTTTTTTTTTTTTTTTTCTTCTTCTTTTACTGTGTGTGTGTTTGTGAAGATTCATTTAAAAAGGTTGTACATAACTAGGGAACTAAAGGTTGCTTAGTATAATATGTTTTTACAATAAGTCTTCTACACTCACTTCCAAAAGTTAAGCAAGAAGATGTAAAATGCAAAAAAATAAAAAAATACTGCTTTGATTGACACAAAATTCGGTTGGAAGGCAGCACATATATTTATGCATAAAAGAAAATCAATAATTTTATACAGAAATGAAAATTTTTGTAAGCTATCAGATAATAACATACTGGAGACTTAAACAGAATTATGTATAAAATGAAAATAAGCAGCATAAAATGAAAAAAAAAAAAAAAAAAAAAAAGGACATTAATAGGGTATGTGATCCCCCCTTCATCTGTATACAAAGTTTACACCCTGTGACCATGCTTTCAGTTAGGTGGTCAACCACCACAGAATTGAGCAAACGTCATTCTTCTTGCAGAGCAGTTTCCAGCTCAATAAGAGTGGCTGGAGGTGGGAAACGTGAAGATACAGCACAGCCGAGAGCATCCCAAAGATTTTCAATGGGATTAAGGTCGGGCGAATATGCTGTCCACGCCATACGCCATATCTCCACGTAGTCATCACGATCAGCTCTGGATCACTATCGTCCATTAAAACAAAAGTCGGGCCAACTGCTGCAACAATCTCACAATGGGTTCTAGGACTTTCATCTCAATCGATACCGAACAGCCATAAAAAAAAGCATTTAAAGATGTGCAGGTCAGTGCGGTATCCTAATGAAATCTCTGCCCACACCATAATGCTTCCGCCTCGGAATGCATGATGTTCAGTGATGTTTTGGGACTGATTGCGTGTTCGTTGTTCACACGATATCCTTATAGGCTTGTCATCTGGCTCCAGAGCAAATCTTGACACATCAGTAAACATGACATTGTCCCAGTCAGACACATTCCAATTGATATAATTGTGCCCCTCTTGATTGGATGGATACAAAAACACAAACTCGAGGTACCCGGCCGTACAGTCCACTCCATATGTAATCTTCGCCGTACAGTAAGCTACAAATATCGCTTTACCAATGAACGCTGTAACCATAGACGTGTGGAGGTCGCTCTGGGATTCCGCTCGGCGACAGTAGCAATATATCAATCTTCCGCAGGGGTTGTAACCCTTGGGCAACCGGCTACGGGCCTTCGGACAACTGTCTGTGTGGTTTGGAATTGTTTCCATAGACGTAAAATTACAGAATGATGAATGCTGAAGAAAAGAGCAACATCTGTGATCGACTGTCCTGCTTCAATGCACCCCACAGCACGCCAGCACTCAGAATCTTCCATTCATCTTCTGGAAGTCATAGAAACACGTATATCTTGAAAACAAAGTGTACGAAAGTTTTAAACACCTTCTATCAACACTTACAATCAATTTCTGTAACCCTTCATAAAGCTGGCTTCTTATAAGACTGCCTTTTTTTCACATTTCTTGACATGAAAGCGCGATTGGCTATTACCCAACATATTTGCATACTTCCATCTACCTCTGAAGCGAATTGCATCTTCTTCAATTCTGATTGGCTTCCGGAAATTAGCATTTTCCTCTCTGTGCTTAACTTTTGGAAGTGAATGTATGTTAGTATAAAAATATACTAAGATTTCATTAATACAAATTCCTAATGAAAATGAGAGAACGTGCTCAGTCTTAATGCAGAATTCTTCAGGGAACAAGTAGATAACCAGTGCCTAACTTGCTGTCGATAGTAAAGCTGTTCTAACTTTGAAATCTTTCCTTTCCCATTTTTGTAATTTGATTTTGTGTTGATTGCATATTAAATTTCAAGCATTAATTAGAATCAAATTGTTAAACTTTAAATGCTTTGTGTGTATAAAAACCTTACATTTTTGTACACTGAGATAATTTTCCAGTGAAGAAATCATATATGACGATTACCTCTTACCCTAATTTAGCAAAATTACATAATTAAGTTTGTATCAGAATTGATGATGGCAAATAATTTGCTTGTGCTGGTTTTAACCTCATTAAGTTTTATTTTAGTTTTTAAAGCTTAGATTTTTTTTTTTTAAATTATTATTTAAATTACATAGCCCATGGGCTGTACACTAGGAAAACCCCTGATTCACATGTTTTTAGCAATAACAGTTATTGAAGAGAAAATGAAATTGTGTTTGAGGATTATACAATGTAATTAATTGGTTTTAGATTAAAACAAGTGTGAATTACGATGGATATTGTTTGAAAAAAGATTGCATGACTAAATATGTCTGACTGATCTTAGGGGCTTCTGTTATTAAAATCAATCAAAAGACCTTCAGGAAAAGTTGGGCATGTGACAGTTCTTAGTAAAAAAATTTTCTACATGACCAAAATTAAATAATAATAAAAACATGTATCAAAGTGTATAAGTATGTGGTATTAAGAATAAAGTGAATCATACATCCTGGATTGCACAAAGCAGTCTCTTTCTATTCTGAATTATGTAACACAAGAAAAAAACATGAATATTGTTATTCCTACTCTATAGTCATGGAAATATTTTTGTGGGATTAGAAATATATTGAATTAATCAATGAACCTACCATCTAGATATAGTGGGACCTTGCTTAATGAGCCTGAGTGGTTCCTGAATCTTACTCATTAAGCAAAACAGTTTTTTATACAGAAATAAATGTAAAATAAAATGATGTGTTACATACTGAAAAACACACTCAAATTTATAATAGACTCTTTTTTTTACAAGAAAGTTGCCTAAGGTATGTGTTTCATACTGAAAAACACACTCAAATTTATAACAGACTCTTTTTTTACAAGAAAGTTGCCTAAGGTAAGGACTATGCTTAAAAATTTGTCGAAAATGAGACACAGCATTATCGTTAAAAAATTTGTGCTGTAACAGTTTCCAATGCTTTTGGCATCTCCTCATTTTGCTGGAAGGTTAGTTCTATGCTGAGGCTGTTTTGTAACAGCCACCCAACAAAATCTTCCATTATTGACGAAAGCTTCTCCACAACTTCTTGATGTGATACAGAATGCACCATAAGCTCCTGCCTGTGTTCTCTCATTAGCTCATTGACTTTGTTGCTGTCTACTTGCCAGGCATGAAGTCTCATCAATTACAGACTCTATAAACATTTGCTCAGACTTTTTGTTGTCTCGTGTTCAACATATCTGCCTGGATGAAGCTTCTTCCATGCAGAAACAAGGGTTCTCTTGGTGACACAATCCCATGCTTTTGTTGATCATTTTGAGGCAGGCAATGATGTTATAGTGGCCAAATATTGAAGTTAAAGTGTTCAATATTCTGAGAGAATGAAATTTGTTCCTTTAGTTACATCAGAACAATGCTTGAGGAGCACTTTTATGTAGAACTTTTTAAAATTTGAAATGGAAATGATCAGCTCATGCATGAGCTGCAGTAGAGGAATGTCAGGAAGCAGAAAGTAGATCTTGTTGAATTAAAATTCTTCAAAGATGTCATTACGTAGCCCTTAAGGGTCTGTAGAAGTGTCGTACATAACAAACAAGACATGGAAATGCAAATTCATCACAAGTGGATAATTTTTTACAAATGGGTCAAACACTTAATTGATGTAGATAATTTTTTTTTACAGACAGATTAAATAAACATTTCATTGATCCAATCTGCAAAAATGTATCACCCAACCCTTGTTGTAAACGAGTAATGGTTTAATTTTCAAATCGCTACTTGCATTTGCACAAAATAACAGTGTGAGATGGTCTTTCATTGGCTTTGGCTCAGCAATGCTTTCTTCTCTTCTGTAATATAAGTTAGCTTCAGCATCTTTCTCCAGAAGAGACCTGTTTCACCACAATTAAAAACCAGCAGTGGCAGAAAACCATCAGAATTCTCACTTGAACACACTTATGAAATTCTTGGTTTTACACCGAAGAAATGACATCCACAATGGTGTGGATGCTGTTCTTCTCTTAAAACTTTTCACACTACCCTCGACTTACCTTGAATGTTCTACTTCTTCGTCCATTAATCCTGCCATCTGCTTAATGAAGTTAGCAAGAATTATTTTTGCATTCTTACAAATTATATTTTTGTTAATAGTGTCTCCTTGTATATGCTTCCTGTTCATCCATACAAGTAGCAATCTTTCAACACTGTCAAGAATACAGTCTGTACATCATAAAAAAGCTCTCGCCAGTTAATCTGCAGCTGTCTGTTGCCGTAGAAAGAAGCCTTGACCCATTTTCCGTAGGGTTGTCTTGAAGACGAATGATAACTCTTTTCCCCTCAGCCAACAGTCGCCAAAAACAAAATAACAATAACGCAACCCTTGGTTTGCCCCTATTTGAAATATACTAGTCTTGTTGCTATAGTGACCGCCACCTGCCAGACACCGTAGCGGGAGCTTTTCTTCTTGTAGACAGACAGTACACGTCATTTGTTCTACAAAATACCGCTCATTAAGGGAGTCATTTAAAAAAAATTTGCTCATTAAATGAGGTTTGACTGTTTATATTTTAGATAATTTGCAAGGTCCACCAAAAAAAAAAAAAAAAAAAAAAAATTGATGAAGAATAATTTCTAAGCTTATATTCTGAAATCCGAGTTGGAGCACCACATTTCGTAACATAACAGCCCCGAATTTTTGAAAAGCTGCACTAAAGGTAGTTATAATGTCAAGATAAGAAAAGTGTTTTCCAGTATTTGCTGAACTAATATTGATAATAAAGATCATATAATTTGAACTAATAATGTAGCCTTCAGTAGGCAGAATATCTAGCAATGTAAAACCTCACTTTAATACCATCTCTTTCTACCTTATCGGAATACACACAAACTAAAATTAGCACTATGGCAGGAAAACAGAAAGGGGAAAATTAGAGTATAGATTCTGAATTTAAAATAACTGGTTAGATAAAATAAATAAATACCCTGGAAACACCAGTCCTGAAAGGTTTAAGTCATAATTTTGGACAGTTAATTTAGGGCTAATTTTAACATATTATTGAAGCAGTTTGTTATGTTCTAAAAGAACTTTCACAGAAGAAAGCACAGTTGAAGCTACTAATTAAAGCTTCCTTTTTAAACAGCTGTATAAAAATTTCAATTTTGTATATTTTCATTGGATGATGTCATATAATAAAGTTTTCAATTCTTAATTTTTAGTTTTATTACTTAAGATAGTATGACAGCTAAACATTTTTGATTATTTTTAAAAAAGAAATCCTCTTAAAACTATGTCAGTTTGCTCAAAAGATAGTCATGCAATTTTTCTGAAATACTATAGCTTTTTAAATTATTTTAATAAAACCATTCTGAAATCTTTATTATACAATTTAGTATTGAAGAATTATAAACTAAAAAATTAAAATATTTAAAATGCATTGTACTTATAAATCTAATGGAATGATTTGTTTATGTTTTCTAAGTATTATGTCTTGAAAGGTGCTGTACATTTCATTTTTAGGACATTTAATGTACTTGTATATATTTTATTTATACATTCTTATTGTACTCATAAATGTTTGTAATGTAAATTTGTTGTACAATAAAACAATATACAATTTGAAAAGCACTGAAAAGTTTTATTTTATAAAAATATAATAAAACTCTGAAGCTCATGAAAGACAACGTTTTATCAAGTCATTTAAGAGGTACTGTATTTCCATATGCCATTAATTATCAGTTGATTACACATTCAGTGATTCAAATTTAAGTAAAAACTTGAAAAGCTTTAATTTAATATTATAATTTGAGATTAGAGGTATTACTTCTAAAAGAGGATTTAAAATAATTCAGTGAGTTTGAATGTGTGGTAAGTGTATAATCACTGCACAATGAACTAGAAAAGCATATCTTATTAACAAAGTTTTATAAAGGAAGTAGAGTTATTTGAAGATCAGCTGAGATTTAAACAACCAATTGTCACTGATATTGACAAACTGACAAGACTAAATGAGACTAGCTTTTGTCCAATATATAAAGAAATAACTATTTAAATGCTTAGTGAAAAGCAAAATTAGTAATAATTACTTTCATGCAAAATGCTAAAACTGATCGCTCACTATTGATGAAACAGTAATACACTGCAGTATCTAGTAATGTGATAAAAAAAGCATATCAATGAACTAGCTAATAAAGAAATCAAAAATTAGTAAGAAGAGACTATTAGCATTATAGCTTTAAATTCAAATATTATTTACTTCTTTAATTGGTAAATCTGAAAGTAAGCCTTGAAATTTCACACTAAAGAGCATGAAACTCATAATCTGAAAAATATTTCTAAATATGCTATTGCACAACACTGCTGATTGAAAGAGTTTCCAATTCTATGCAGTTTGATAAGGCTAAGTCTTGTAACCTGACCTTTTTTCATCAAATCACTACTGATGTCTGTATCACTTTTCAAATAAACAGATGTCATAATATCAGTTAACCCTAGAGGGAAACTGTATTCTGAATCAATCATACTGTCAGGGCTGCCAGATTTTACTTGAAATGCCTTTCAGACTATCACATGATCAGAAGTTTCATAGCTCTTGAACCAACCAAGAAAATTTTTTTCTATTCTATCTGAGTATAGTAACAAAGAATAGTCAACAGATGTGAAGTACAAAACAGACTGATCAACTGTGTTAGTGAAAGTATATAAAACTTAAATGTTAAAAAAAGGGGGAACATTAAAATCTTAACCATTTCGAATATATATATATATATATATTTTACTTCATTAGATTCATTTACTTCATTCATTACATGAACAACAAACAGTTTAATCACCTGATTTTCAAGAGAACTGCAGGACAATTTTGCCCCCAAGAACTAGATGGTTCAGTAATATAGTACTGTTTTGATCAGTAAAATATATATCTATATAATAAACTTATTTAAATATGATAGAACATTTTAAATGACTTGATATAATTACATGAGTAAAAGATACTTTCAGTTACAAATTTTCTTAAAATTTTTAAATTTCAGCCATAAAAAAATCATTTCCTAAGCATATCGCAATATAAGCACAAGAAATATCTTGCAGTGATATAATTGATTTTATATATACATGAATAGATTTATACACTTTCAAGTGCTAAATATTAACATGTCAATGATCAAAATATATATATATTGACTAGTTCATATTTTAAATATTTAGCACTAATAAATTTTTCTTAAATAAAATAACTCATTCATTATAATAAACAAAATTATTCTAGGATGTAATGAAATGACAAAATTTCTATATAAAAATCAACAGAAAAACACAGACACATAGAACTTTTAAATTACCAGTTCTCAAAAGTATGATTTAAAAACTAACACTACAGCAAATGAATCACTAAGATTATTTTTCTTCATATGATGCATTATAAAAAAGTATTTATTCTGATCACTTATGAAAGGTATACTGAAGAAAATTGATAAATCTAAGATCTGTAAATTAGAAATAATGCAAAATTTAGATTTATGATTAATTACCGTATTTGACGGCATATAGGACGCACTTTTTTCCCTGAATCTGGTCTAAAAAAGTTACCTGCGTCTTGTACGTGAAGGACACAGGTTAACTTTCAATACTGAAATGCTATTTTTAGCCCGGATAAAGGTCTAGACACACATAACTTTATCTACATCTACATGTGTGTGGCCTTCTAAATAAGGGTGCATCTTATATGCCATCAAATACGGTAGTACTTATTTTGTTTAAAAAATTTAGAAAAACTATTAAAGAACAAAGAAATTAAAGCTTTTGAAATGAAGTGATCTGTCGTATATTCATATATTTAAGAGATCATTATCACATAATGAAAGAGGAAGAAACTAATGTTTAATTTTTCCAATTAGCACTAAATAATATTTATTACTGAAATTTATAGAATTTTTAGTGAAGTTTATGGTATCCAGTACATTTTAATATATGGTATCCCAGGGCTATTATAAAACATATGGTATAGTTATATATATATATATTATATAGTGCTCTAAAATGCATAGAATAAGGTATAATTTTGTGTGAGACAAGTTGAAACAACATGATTTTAATGGACGCATCCGATCTTTGAGGTAATCATTCAAATGGATTAAACAAATATTTACTTATTTTTTCCTCCTTCCTTGGTCATGAATAAAACTAAATTTAAAAGCCTAATTTAGTTTTATGAACATTGCTTGAAAACTTGGAGCAAATCAAATCTCCTCCCCCCTCCCATTTTATTTTAGATCAATATAGGGCAATAGCAGATTTTGTATGTTCACCGTCTCTTAAAAACATATGGTTGAAACTGAAAAACAGTTCAACTTCAAACTGACTGAAAACCATCGTAAAAGTAAAAGCTAATAAATACTGAGCATTCCTGTGCATAACCTAAGTATTTTTATCAAATTTTTTACTACTGAAGTTTAATCCAGCTTATATACACTTTCAAAATAATTTACAAATAATTAAGTTACAAAAATACAGAAGTTAAGCATCTGAAAAGAATATTATTTTTGTATAAAAGGATTTTATATTAATCATGAGCTAATTAATGACTGTTTAACCCCCTCTGAGTGGCATGAACCACTTTATCATGCGATGAGATTTTTTTTATTGTTATACATGACCTTATTTAAAATAAGTTTTCAAACATTTCGTAATGACTTGAATATCTTTAATGAAAACAAAAAAATTAATTATATGAATACAAATAAATAAATATTGCTTCAACGAAATGCTCCATCAGCAAAGCCAAAAATTTATACCACTCAGAGTTTTAAACAAAATAACCATGACCTATGAATAATTTATAGATTATCCATTCAAAAAAATATTAAATGTGCAAAATTTCACTTTTTCCCCTGAGAATAAATAACAAACTTTTATAACAATTGAAGAGCTTGTAGCAAAAACAATTGAAGAGCTTGTAGCAAAAAGGCCCCAGCTCTGCTTTGATAGATTTTGTGTTCATGAATCATTTTTGTTAAAAAAAAAAAACTGCTGCTTTTTGGATTGGAGTAAAAGGTTGCTGGTGTAGCCGTAAAATACCATTTTTACTAGCACTTTTACTACTAGAGGGCAAACGAAAATAAGTTAAAAAATAAATTTTTGAAATGTTTCTTTTAATTTTCCAAAAATTAAAAAATGTGGAGCTGGGCCCTTCTTGCTGCAAGTCCTTCAATTATTTTTAGCATAAAACTTGTATAATTTTTTATGTTTTTTAAAGCACATGCACAAATCAATGTAAGAAAAAATAAACATAATTAATACCATATTTCCTTGCACACTTCCCCCTCCTTTCTTATTGATTTTGTCATCTGAAAATTAAGAGTGGAAAAGCTATGTGAATTATTTAATTTCCAAAGGACATGGTTACAGTCAGAACATAACAAATCGAAAGTAGTCATGGATAAACTACAGGTAAGTATCGCAATATTTCTTTTACCCTCTGGTGGTTGTGAGATAGAGCAATTCTTTCTTTCCAAATAAGCTCAGTCATAAATTTACAATGCGAGCTGTGTTCATTTTTGTCCGCTGCAGTGCATAACTGAGATGCAATCTGAGCTCGTTAATGACCATCAAAAGGTTAAGTAAAAGCTACATTGCAATACGAATACATAGTAATATTACAATATCTAATAAGATATCTCCATTTTTTACTACCTTGTAATTTGAAACCTGCCCATTCATGTTGTCTCTGCCTCAAATAATTCATAAATAATTAAATAAGGTGAATGTGCAGCTGACTGTGTGAAGTCATAGACTGAATGTCAGTTTGTGTTTACTTCTTTGTGATTTGTAGGTTCTTGTAACAGGCTTCATGAGGTTCAACAGTTAGAAGGGGAAGGTTCAGCATCACCTTTGCAGGTAGCTTGCAAGGTTTTGTCTCTTAATATAATGAAAATAATTACTACATGATAAAACCATTTAAAATTTAGGGAAGCTTATTTCGTGAGTGTATTGATACAGGGGAAAATTACATGAATAATTTTAAATTTTTCAGAAACTGGTGCTAAAAGGCTAGAAGGAGAAAAATAAAGAAATATGGTATATATTTTAATCAGTTTAACCATTTGACTGCTATGTGGCACAAAAAAAAGCGCTGCGTTCATTTGTCTCGAAAACCGCGATGCAGCGAAAAAGCGCTGCGAGTTTCAGTGTGTCTTTGTTGCTCCGTGGGTGTGAACGTACGTAGTCTGACCTCACACGTACTTTGTAAAATGAGTGCATTCTAAAATAACTAACTGTGTCATGGTTTTCGAGGCAAATGAAAACTGCTACGCAGCGCTTAGTCAAATGGTTAAAAAGTATTAAAGAAAACTGATCTTCTTATAAATTATGTTTATATTTTTAAACCATTAGCAAAAACTGATATATGTAAGATTCTTACATAATACAGTATATTATGATATTATAGATTCACTTCTTTTTGAAATCACGGACAGATGTTATCTGCGAGATTCAATATTTAACTCAAATTCATCCGATACCACAGAATTTCTTTAAGTGATAAAAACAGAAGGTAAAGAAATTCTCATAAAAATTATCAAGCACAGCATCAATGCAAAATACCATGCAATTCATAAAAGCTTAAGATAAAAAAATAATCTGTTTAAAATGGTAGGATTTTTTTATAAGCTCAAATGATGTTTTTACATTTGGATATGCATATGTATGGTAAATACATGATGAAAACTTTTGAGAGGCAACTTTGTTTCTAAGGTAAGGACTGAAGAGGCAACTGTGTTGCTAAAGTAAGGACTGAACAAGCAACTTTGTTAATAAGGGGAAAAAATGGATATATTTAAGAATCACCAATTCTTTTTTTAATATGCATCTTGCTCCACATGAAATTAAAACATCACTTTCATTATAAATTAAACTTCATTACATTTATTATGAAGCAACTGCAAAACTTTCTGAAACTTTTGATGCCTTTCTTCTGAATGCACAACTGAACCTCTATAGCCCCAAAGCATTCGTAAATGAAATTCTGTACTAAACATATCCAATAATATATCATCATATTTTACACTTCTAAGTGATAACTGTCCATTTTTTATAAAACCTGGAATTTGCTGAATAATATTGCGACCAAGTGCTAAATGGTCCGCAAGAAGCTGAAGTCCAAAATCATCTGAACCATAACTACCAGGTATGCTAAAATTTAGAATAATATTATTAATATTATCAGTATAATCAAATGGTTGATTTTCTATGATGCTCATAATAGATGAATGTTGCTGAAGAATCAAAATTAAAGATAATATATATGGAAAACAAATATTGGGAGCTCCAAGATCTGATGCATTTTGTAGAGACTTGAAAGCAGGTTTCATCTTAGTCTCAAAAGCAAATGCTGATTCTGTATAAGAGTGCCTTAAGGCCAACCATGTTGACTGTAATCCAGTCACCTACAAATAAAAAACAAAGATATAAAACTTTTTATGAAATCTTACAGTTTATGGATTCTTACAATATCAGAAATATGGAAACATAAGTAAATATATAAACATCAAACAAAATGAGATTGCGTGTATTAAATAGTTTATATAATGAAAAGGATCATGAGCAGCTCACTCCTTGTACACAGAACAAACATTTTGAAGATATGAGCAAAGTCATCTATAATACTCTTGTATGCATTTAAATATTTAATGTTTTTGTAAATTTTCAGAATTTTAATTATACAAAAAATTTACTTTTTCACAAATTCTGGAAACCTACAATTTCCTATAAACTGTGATGGCTGAAAAAGATGTCACGAAGACCTACACAGCAGGCCATTAAACTTGCAACACCAGGAAGGAATGATCTGACAAACGTCAAAATCACATGAAAGGAAGAAGTTAGACTGTGCAAATGATTAGTATTTCAGCGCATTTAGACAACGCAGGAGGGAGAAATGACATCTGAAGGCACTGCATAAAAGAAGAGTTGTGTAGGGGATTTCTAATTCGGAAAGTGCTTTGTAAAGTTGGAGTTTGCTCAGAATATTGTGTTATGCCTTGAATAAGAAGAGGAAATGCTTACCAGCAAGTTTCAAAATTTGATAGGGGCAGGATCATTGCCTACTGAAAGTGTAGATTATCGTTCCGTGATATCGCCGGTCGCACTGGTCGACATCCAACCACTGTCATGTGAATATGGAATCAATGGATTGCTGAGAGTCATACTGAAAGGTATGCAAGATTTCAACCCCCTCTCATGACTAGTGCCAGAGAGGACAGACATATTGTGAAGTCAGCCTTGCAAAACCGTACGACCACATCATGGACCATTAGTCAGGAAATGGGCATGTTTGCAGTACACCCAGTATTAGCTTGTAAGGTGCATTGACGTTTGCAGGAGCATGACCATTACTTCAGCTTCCCTTGCCAGTGCAGCATAGAGAGACACAGCGACTCTAGTGTGACAAAACGGCAAAGCTGGGTACAGGAGTGGCACAATTTTGCCTTTTCAAACAAGTCCCGGTTCTACGTGTCGAGAGTATCCGAGAAGACCATACGTCACCTGCTTGCATTTGATATCGGCATATGGGCCCTGCACCTGGTGTGATGGTTTGGGCAGCCATTGGGTACACGATATGCACATCTCTAGTTCAAATAAATGGTAATTTGAACACAGATGGGTACATTTCTGACATCTTACATCCAGTGGTTGTGCCCTATGTTCAAGGCACCCAAAGTCCATGTTTCAACAAGATAATGCAAGACCACATGTTGCATGTCATATTCTGACCTTCCTTGATACACAGGGTATTCGATTGAGCTGCCCTGGCCTGCAGAATCTCCAGATCTGTCACAAACTGAAAACATTTGGTTGTGGGTTTCTGAAAGACTGGCCCGCCAACCCTCTCCAGCTAAAATGTTGTGTTATTGTTGTACACAATAATAAGTGTTGCATGGACTTGAAGCATCATGCAATGAGTTGCTCATTTTGGTCATCCAAGCCCAGTTTGACTCCATGCCTTAATGGGGTAAGGAGTTAGCTGCTAGGAGTGGCAGATGTTTCTACTAATTTCATATCCCTGTAAACTTCCAAAATGCTTACAAATTTAATCATTTTTTTCTTCATGCCATACTGTTTCTATGTGCAATAAATATCTTTTTGGTATTTGCTTTCCTTTATGGTGTTGCAATTTTAATGGCTAGCAGTATACAAGGAAGATCAGTCATGTTGCTTACTATGGGCTTGCCTTCTTTTGAAGTTACTCTATTCAATGCCAATTACAAAGCTTTCCTGATAGTTTATGGTTATTTTAGTTCCCACGACATCTGTTCCATTCCTGCCAACATTGCTGGAATGTCCCAGTCCTGACCTAAGCCTGAGTTCCAACACTGACGATTGGCTCAAGTGTTTAAGCCAAGAACTTATTCATAAAGATAGTGTTGATGGTGGTGTCATGTCTATAAGAACCCAAAATTGATCACAAAGGATCATGTGTGGATAAGATGCAGATGGCTATCTCTGGTGTTCCCAGAATAAAGCTGCTGAGGATCAAAAGGATATTTTTCAAGAAAAATCAAGGATCATAAGATCAGTCAAAAATATGGCAAGGACTTAATACCATTTTGTCACATTTATTGCAGGAATGGCTCTTTTTATCTTCATACACTAAAAATGTAAGGTTCTAAGTTTAGTTTATACGATGGCTCAATTAGCATTAATTTCACAAATCTGGTAGTCTTTTTTATGATATTTCCTCCAAGTCGATACCTTGCAATAGCATTTGCATTGTCAAAAGTAATTTGATTATTATTACCGTCACTAAGATCTCTTGCCTCTTTTATGAGCCAGGATTATTGCCCTGTATTATATTTAAAGAAATTAAATAATGAAGAATCTGCATAAATGTGTGTATGTTTCTCGCATTGTGATAAAACAACGGTATCTAGACCCATCAAATTTTGAGTAACGTAAACCTCCTGCAAATATGGACATCTGGAAGCCCAAATTTGAAATTTGGGATTTGTTTTATTATCAGTTTCATATTTTGCAAAACTTTAACGAATTTTTGATTAACAAACTCAAGGATTTCAAAGCGAGCAATGACAACGTTGTACAGAAAAAAACATTTTTATCTCCAGCGTGCAAGACTGTCTTCAGAAATTAAAGATATGCTCATTTTAAAATTATTTTGCGATATTGCTCTTGAACTGAATTTTATAGTTTAAGTGTAAAGAACATGATATTTAATAAATAAAGGTAACACACAAAATGAAAAAAAAAAAAAAAAAAAAAAAAAAATGCCCCTTTGGATGTAATTTAAAATCTGAAACCTTTCAGAATTTTTATTTATTTATTTTTTTGAAAAGTTGAAAAATATGAATTTCATGTATAATAGAGCTAGTTAACAAACAGAACCAGCTCCACTATCTTAGATAAACTCCAGTGTGAACAACCCTTATTATTATGTTCTGTGATCATGGATTCAAGATTGTGTGAAGTCATGAACATCCCATTTCTAATGCAATATATTGCACAGCAGTACAGAATTATTTTTCCAGCATAAAATGTTTTGCAATTTTCAAGCAAATGAAATTAATATACTTTTTAAAAGATAAAAGTTTCTTTTAATTACCTCTGGTATTGTGAGACCCAGCATCACTGATGCAAAGCCATAAAAATTTCCTAGTGTAGTTTTTGTTTCAATGGCTATTTCAATCCATTTGTTCAAAATCTTCACTCTGTCTTCAATTCCAGGTGTGGTTAAAATGGTGACTGCCACAAATATCTTCATGCTTTCAGTTCTAGATCAAGCAAAATAACTTATTCACTTCATGGAGAAAGAGGTCTTCAATTTTTAACAATGCCAGTTCATATTTTTGAGAAATGTACTTTTTAAAGAAATTGTATTATTTCTGTTTATTAAACAACAACCATAAAAGATATCTTTATATTGAGGTAAATATTTAACATAATAGTTTATCCTTATGAGCTAAAATTAAAGATCCATTTAGTCTAGCAACCTTCACTCACATCATATGGCACTGATTCTATATCATACCGCAATTTCTTGTCTGGAACTAATGTGACACACTTTGCTGAGTTATTGTCCATAATAATGCAACATTGGATCCAGCAGCATAAAAACACTACTAACTACAAGTCTGAAAGGATTACTTTGTTACGAATGAAATAGCTAATTTAGGCTCTTGAGATCAGAGGGGTTCTTATTCATTTGCATTCAAGCAGCTATAAAATTATATAAGATTGCTCTATCTTGCTGTAGCACACAAGAAAGATCAATCTCACTAAGAACAGATACAGAACTGCAAACTAAATGCATAGATCAGGTTGTACGCAATAAGTTATGTGATAAGGCATAAAGCTTATTCAAAATAACAGAAAATCCTTGGTGATTATGATTCAGTAAATGAAAAAAAAAAAAGCATTTTCGTGGGCAAAACATAATTTTTTTTTAAACACAATCTTTTAACAGAGGCTGATAGGGCCTCAAAAGTTATGTTCCCAGTTCTAAATAGAGAGTCATCTGCCAGCTAAAAAAATTGTTTTCAGAAATTGTCTGTAGAAAGAAGTCTAATTCTGAGGCACTGGGCAAGTGTGGAGAGGTTTTGTTTTCTGACGCTGCTAGTGATGGGACTCTGTTGATGCATAATGCCACTATTTGTGACAGTACTTCCTACCTTCATTTGCAGAGAGATGCAATCTTGAACAAGTCAAGACCTGTTCAAAAGTTTAACCATATATGCCTAACACCACCACATTATTTTGCCAAAAATGTATCAAGTTCCATTCTGGGCTCCAAATTTAACTGCTCTTAACCCATTTAAAATGACATTATGAGACATACTACATTTATTTTATGCCGTCATATGCTGGAGCATGGCTATGTAAAATATTTTAATTTGAAAATATGTATATTTGAATTCTTCAGATTTTTTTATACTCCAGATATAACATCTTAGCATCAAATATTTGTTGATCATGTTTTCATTGTATTTATCAAATACATATTTTAATAAGTCTAATGAAAGTACATCCAACTAAAATATACATAGGATTTAATTATATTTAGACTCAGAAGAATCTCAAGTAGTCATAAATGTTGTGCATACTTTTGAAAAAAATCCAAAATGTGGTTTAGAATAATTCAAAAATCTACAAAATTCACAGCATATAATTTTTTCAAAAGACCTAAATATAATTTGCATTTGTGCTTTAACAGTAAATAATAATACTTCACATTTACTTTATGTAGCGCAGGATATTGAATTAAATTTGTAAAAAGCATTTTGTTACACCACTAAGAATCAAATATTATAAAATTTTTATGATTATAAACATTAACAAAATAATACTTAACCTTTCTAATAAATCTTTCTGCAACTGTTCACCTTGTGGAAGCAAAAGTAGTTCCAGTCCATTTGTTACACCAAGGCCCAAGTCTAATTCTTGAAAATTTCTCGCTATTTCAAGATCCACTCTTGTCAAATGAAATGCCGAAATTTTAGATGCATTGGAAAGCAATGCTTCTCTTATTCTGGACAATACTGTGCCTTCTAGAGGTGTATTTTCAGATGTGAGTAAAGGTGTTCTGAAAGTCTGAGGCTCAAAGATAGATGGCGGATGAAGTATGGGTATCGTAAAAGAATTCTCTGTTATTTCCATATCGGGCACTGAACCATCATCTGAAATGCTTGGCCGATCCAAAAATGAAAAACGAGTTTCTGATGTTTGTCGTAAATAAGCATGTGATAATGAAACACTGGGGATAGGAATAGGACTTTGAGAACTTTCATCAGTCTCATCAACAGACTGCTGTCGCCGTTTCAGAACCATAGGTCGCTGAACACATTTTCTAGATGGAACTCGACTTGGTTTAGGAGGTGGTTTATCTTCCACTTTTAAAGAAATTGCCTTCACTATATCAGAACTGAATGTTCCTGAATTTGGTCTGTGTTCAAATCTTCGTCTTTCTGTATTTGGACTGAGCATAGGATCACTTCCTACTCTTGTTAAAGCTGGCCATGGATTTAAATTTGTGTTTTTTGTTTTGTTTTCACTTGTGCTGTCACTGCTTTCCTTCTCTATATTTGGTATGGATTTCGGATTTTCTATGTCTGCAGCATGCACTGATTGACTGACAAAATTATTATCACAGCTTAAGGGTGATGTAGGAATTTTCTCTAATGCTTTAGCTGCATAATGCATCTGACACTGAATTCCATAACGTGATGCATAATACGACAAAGGCATGGTACGATTAATAGGTCGACTGATAATAGCACCAGAGCTAGCAGATAAGGGACATTTGCTGCCTACATAGTATGTAACAAAATCAGGAATGCTATCAAAACTGTCATTTTCAAAACAATACTGTATTCTCTCATACAAAGTATCAGGTTGTAAAATGACCTAGATAAAAATAAGATTCAGCACTTCAGAAAATGTGTTAAAAGTACTTAAAATAGTAACTTTCTTGTTTTTCTCATTATATTATTTTAATTCAGTATCGTTTTATTACTGTTATTAAAAAAAAAGTTAAATTATATTTTATTAACTCATTTAAAAATGCATACACATAGGAATGTATACCAGAAGTAAATTCTAAAAAAAATTGTTCTTTGCTGTTAACAAGGCAGAAAACATAAACTTTGATGAAAAATCTAACTAAATGGTGGCAACCCTATTGATTCATGAAACTTCAAGAAAAGAATAACCATTTTTTATTCAGTACAAAGTCCCAGATCCAGACTCTCGAGACTTCCGAGGTTCTAGATTTGGTATTTTCCGGATATTAGACCATCAGTTCAAATCTAGTAAGATGGCATGTAGAAATTATAAAGTTAAAAATATGAAATCGTAATTTATGAAATAATGAATCATTTATGATCAAAGTCATAAATGCTTCAAAATTGCAAATAAAGGGTATCAAAATTTACAAAAAAAAAAGCTTAATATTTGTTTATTTTATTAAACATTTCTTTTAATGTAAGTTGTTTAAGTTGCTTCATTTTTTTTGTGCTAATACTTTCTCTTTAATTCTGCTAACAGACATAGTTTCTTGCTCAGTCACATTGCTGAAGTCCTGTCATTACTGTGTCAATGATTCCGACTAACTTGTTAATCGAATTTTTTTTTGTTTTCAGTAAATTCTGTGTCACTTTCTTCACTATCGGTAGCAGTATTTTCTGGATGTAGAACCATAGTACAGATTTTGCCAACCATTAATTGATTGAAGATTGAGGAGCACTGTCATCACAATGAAAAACTTCTTTTATATCATCTTCATTTATTACCGCTTTTCCAAATTTCTTAACAAGATACTTTAATTCGAAAATTTCACCTTTGGTTTGCGATATCCGAAAACCTTTAAAATTTGTGGCTATGATCACAAAATTTAGCTATAATTCACTATACATATTTGGCTATGTATCACGACAAAAAGTTACTTTGCTAAATTTTATTTGCTTGTATCGCGCTTTGAGACAATTAAGCCTGAATTGTATTAGTTTAGTTATTTATTATACTTATGTCTATTTCTTGCACATGCTTAAGGCTTATCTGAGTTCTAAATAGAAAAATTCCCACATATACTTAAGGGTGCTTGAGGGCAGGCACTAGATGTCTTACCACCTGATGCAGTCTCTGTAGGTACTAAATTCTGCCGCCCGGTGCAGCCATGCAAACCCTGGCACTGGTTCTAGGTTTATGTAAATAACAAATCAGTTATTTTTAATTCAAATAGCACTAAATGTAATCTTTTGGTCTATGAGTATCATTAAGAAAATCTATTTTTAGCATATGGAAAGAAATTTTTGTTAAATTTTTCCTCGTCAACATTTCTTGCACATTTAACTTTAATCATTGCCAAGCGTAATGTCAAAGTAAAAGATTACCATACTCTTTATTATTCAATTACTAATATACAAAAATTGTTTAGGCATCACTACATGACTCATTACTCAAGCTGTCAAGTGTTATGTGGTGATGAAAGCAAAATATAATACATAATCATTTGCCAAGTTGGCCTCAGGGATATAAAATATAAGTAGGTGTAAAATCAATGATGTATCTATATAGAATGTTTCAGTTTGAGATGCATACCAAGCAGATATGGACTGGAGCCAAATTCTCGATCATACAAATTTATGCTAAAATGATTGTTTCTTTCAATAATGAAGCATTTTATTTAGTATACCAAAGTGAAATTATGAAGCGGGACTCTTCACATGTTTTATTATGCATAGGGGAGGGAATCAAATAAACATACGTAAAGCATACAAAAAAAAAAAAATGTTTTTGGTGGCATTGAGGCCCGGATTTTAGATCATTCTGGATACGCAACGTCCAGATCTCAGACTTTGTACTGTATAATAAATATAGAACAATGGTACCTCGGTATACATACACTTTGAAATACATTCTGTGAAATTTTTTGTTTGGTACACAATATAAATATTTAAATTATAAACAAATATAAATATTTGTTTAGAATACAACTTGAGTTCACTGAGCCACACTTGCATGCATTACACTTTATTTCTTTCAAAACAATGCTATGACTGCTTATGAGCATCAGAATGCCTATTGCTACTACTCAATTAGTAACCCAATCTCTAAATGAATTTTCAAGTGATTTTATGTTATTTTCGAGTAAATATTTTTGTAAATCCATTAACAATGAGTTTTAAGAAAGTTATTGATAAGAGTCAAGCACCAAAAACAGTTAATACGACCAATGATGGAGTTGAAAAAAGAGACTGTTCAAAAGTATGAAAATGGTATGCATATCCAGGATTTAACTAATGCATGCCATAAACCAAGTATGATTGTGAAAAATAAAGATTCTATTAAATCAGTGAACATTGTGAAGGGGATGAAATTGATTTCCAAACAAAGATTGGAGACATTAGAGCACATAAAAAACTGCTTGTGATCTGTAGAAAGAAACATTTATCTATAGTATTTGTGCAGTGCTTTATTTATGTACAGTACATATTTCATCGATCGCATTTGCATTTTAGCAGTAAACAGTGCTATAACAGAATTTTTAATTAGAAAGGATTATTTTTTCTTCATTTCTTATTGGAAAAAGTTGTCTGGTATATGTCTAAGGTCCTAGAATGAATTTATGATGTATACCAAGGCACCACTGTATATTTAATGTGTGGAATGTCAAGGCTGTGCATGATAGTGAATTTGAACAATTCTCTGATGTTTTCATTTAAAAAAAAAAAAAAAATCAGATAATTAGAAAATTGTACACATTAAACATTATACCGTATATTCCAGCACATAACGCACAGCCATAATTTCAAGCTACATTTTTTAATTTTTAGATATATTCGCTGTATAACATGCACTCTTTTCTTTATGAAGAAACCTGAAAGATACATGTGTGATGCTGTTATCTTCTGAATTCATTCAATCAAAGATTTTTTTGCAGGTATACTAAATTGATAAAAGATAAGAATATGCATATGGGGAACATGCTTGATGGTGTAAATCTGCAAAATGGGTTGCAATGCAGGTGTGCACAAGAATGTTGCTCTAAGGTTTCAAGAAAAGGGGGACATAATTTTGGATACAAATGTACTTCCGAGCCGAATGAATTCGTGGAATAAGGAGTCGAAAGTTTCTCTTTCCATAGTCATTTAAAGCCATGATTTTGAAGTGAACATTGAAGGCTTTTCTAACTCGCATTCTTTAGCTGAAATGCCGTTGATATAGTATTCTTTAGTAGTAAATATGGCTCCTGCCAAACAAAACAAGCATAGTGCTGGTTTCAAATGCAAAGTCATTCAGTTTGCCAAAGAAAATGGAAATCACGCTGAAGCAAGGATGTTTGATATTGGTAAAAGCTCCATATGTGAGTGAATGAAAGATGATATCACAATAATTAATATGCCAAATAATGAATATGATTTGCAGAAAAGGGTAATGAAATGGGCTGTCCTAAAAGAAAGTGTTGTCAACTGGATCCTAGAAAATAACCAAAGTAGCAGCATTTAAGTATATGTAGAAATCAATTTTTTTTTTATGCTCATCTTTTCCTTATTTTAAAACCTATAATTTTTATATTTGGCGTATAACATGCACCCATAAATTTAGATTTCATTTTTTGAGTTAAAAGTGTATGTTATACATTGGAATATACAGTATAGATTACGACTGCACAGCTGTTTCTGATGTAATATAAACAAGCTACCATATCTGGCAACTGCACCCTATTAACAGAAAAGTATGAAAAATGTGTATCCTTCATAGTTGGACAAAATTGGGAGCAGAAAAAATGGAGACTGCGATTAATGAAAATTTGGGAGTATCATGAAAAATTATAGCTGTACATTGAGAAACAGACCTTCACATGGTTCACCTTAAATTTTGCATGATCAGCCATTTTAATGAATTTATTTCTCGAGGAATTAGAGAAGTTTCGAATAATATTGTAGAACATTTTTAAAGGAAATAATTAAATATAAAATTCATTCCAAAATGGTTAGAACAGACAGTGTAAGTACAAAATTTGGAATAAATAAACAAAGACTGCTACAATAACCATAAGGCAGCACATTTTTTTAATCTTAACAAAACATGCTAAACACGGTTTAATTTAGACCTTTCATTTAAAAACATTTTGTTATGTAAAATTCCATGGATACATGTAGAATGCTGACAATGTTATGAGGAGTTTGTGACACCGACAATGATAAAATACAGACACAGACAGGTTCACCATTAAAGAATTAGAGTAGGCCATTGAAATATTGAGATAACATCCTCAGATCTTTAGGAGATATCACTCAGTTGGGATTCTGGTTACTCCTAAATTTCAGAAATCATCTAATCAAAGGAAGTCAGATGATGGACTATTTGTATTAAAATCTTCTGAAAATGTTTTATTTCCACTTATAATGAACATCTGAAACATTACTATTATCAATAAAATATGTGCACCTGTGTAGTACTTACTACATGTACGATTTATAGAAACCTCTATACCTTAAATTTTGCATTCATTCCCTATGGGTTAAGATTTTTATTATACATGACTGAAGTCTGAAGAAAATAAAGTGTGCAATTAATTAATTATAACAAAGCATGGAGTGTGTAAGGAAAACTGGCTCAAAATTATGTAACAGTTTTATAAAACTTTTGCCTTCCCTTTCTATACACATATGCACACATAAATTTGCAACTAATTACCTTTTTAATTATGAAATGAAGAGGAACATTTTGCCATTTGCAAGTAATCACAAAATCTCCAGGTTGTGAAATGCAGTCTCTTACAATAAAATCTCCATTCTGAACTACTAATTCTTCAGCTCTTTGTCGTAATATAGTTCCATGATACCATGCATAACTCCTTAGGTCAGAACTATCTAAACTTAGTTCTTTTTCTAATGCTTTTTTCAATTCATCAGCAGTTGCTTCTGTGCCTACAAAGCTTTCCTAAATTCAGAAACGTATGTATTAGAAATCAAATTAACATCAAATCAGAGATGAAAAATATAAACAAATTAGCAAAATGTAGATATAATAAAATATGAAGAAGCACTTATGATAAAACTTACCAAAGCATTAAACCAATGGATTCTTATTGCCTGCACAAAACACTTCATTGTAGCAAAATTGTACATTTGATAATCATGACATTTTAATATGCTACAGCAAATATTATATGATCTTTAAACATACCTAGAAACTGTTTTGTTCTGTCATTAGTTAACATTAAGCATTTGTGATGTTTTAGAGGTTATTCAAAAAGATTACTCTTACATTTATAAAGGTTATTGAAAATTCAGATTTAAAGAACATTTGCAGGATGTTACAGTGCTCATATAAAACTAACTGTATGACAGAAAAATGTGTTGGCATACTTTTAACCATCATATCTATCATAGCATGTAATAAATCCAATAATAATACCTCACTGATGCAATCCAATAAAGTTACAGATTTTCCCAACATGTCTGTCCAGGATTCACATAGTGACAAAATACAGATGATTTTCTTATTTTTTTTGTGCACTTAAGTCTTCCATATATCTTATCAGCCAAACCTTTCGCTATTAAATCTAACTTACCCTTTTATCACTATCTGTGTACCTGAATTTTCTGATGTGCTTGTTATTTCTAGATTCTGGAAAGAGAAACTGATTTGTATATATACAGTCAAAAGTCGTTAATTCGGACACCCATAATCCGGATCTCAAAGCTACAAACTTTCTGTGCATGCGTCGCGTTGACGCGCATAGGCATTTACGCGTGCGCGTAAGACCTTTATGGCTGCGAATATGCATGTGCGCAAGCACATAATATGTTTACGCTTGCATGTTTAATGTATAACGGACAGTATGAGCTAAGCTAAAATTATCTAATTCAGTTAATGTTGCAGATAGCGTTGTTCCTTAATCTTCGAATTGGATCCGGCTTATTTTGCAAACTGTTAGAGCAATTTTATAAACGTAAGCTTGAACTTTCGATTATGTCAAATAGAATTTCCGATATATATTTACTAATATGTAAAGGATCTACAAAGCGAAAGTATGTTTTGAAATCCGAAATCTGTTTATCAATTTCACGCTGTTCTGCGGCAGGGGGGGGGGAATGAATTGGAAGTTGATCTGTCAGCACTATCCTTATCTTCAGGGCAGATGTTTTTATTTTATTTGGCTTACAATTCCTTACTAAAAGTAGTATTTCATCTCGATGTACTCCGTCTTTGATATGATTTAAATCAAATTCCTCGTCATTATAATTCGCTTCCGATAGTGAAGAAAGTGACACAGAGGTTATTGAAAACGAAAACATTTCGATTGACAAATTAGTCGGTATTCTCGACACACACAGCAATTATATAGGACTTGAACAGCGGAACTTTGTAACTGAACAAGAAATTATGTCTGTTTATAGAATTAAAGAGAAAGTATTATCACATGAAACGAAGCAACTTAAACAACTTACATTGAAAGAAATGTTTAATAAAGTAAACAAATAAATATTAAGCTTTTTCTTTTTGTAAATTTTGATACCCTTTAGATCATAATTGTTCTTTATTTCATAAATTACGGTTTCATATTTTTAATTTTGTAATTTCTGCATGCCATCTTACCAGATTTAAACTGATGATCTATAATCCGGAATCGCCGAAGTTCCGACGAGTCCGGATTAACGACTTTTGACTGTATTACATCTATTTTATCATTTTATCAGAGCCATTATATGTGTCATATATAATGTTACTTCAGTTTTATGTCATTTTATAGTGGTAATATTTTAAAATTCAATGGGGATCAGTAGATTATTTCTTAAGTATGGATGTGGTTAAGTACTTTTGTCTCCCATCAATTTATATACTTAGATAAGGGAGGTATTACCTCTCACCAACCTATTTACAGGGTTTGTACACATTTCTGCACACAGAAATTAAGTACTTTTAAGGACCATTAAATGGGAACTGAATAAATTCAATTAAAAATATTATCTATGCCTGAATTTCACTTTTGTAATACCATCCTAAAAATAAAATAGATCTCTAAGTAGTATGGATTATTACTAAACATGAATTAATTAACATAATTATTAATAGGTTTGAGAATAAAATAAATTTTATGCAATTTATCAAGTAGCATTAATATTTTACACTTATAATAGATGGACATATTTGAAAGAAGATAAGTGACATTTATGTTTTACTAAAAGTTAACTTTATGTTGATTTTCTTTCATGTCTCATTTTGTCACATACTTGGTCAGTCTAGAGGTTTAGTAAATAGCAGGTAGATTTTATGTAAAACGTAATAGGTTAAAATGAGATGAAAGATCATAATCAGCATGATTCATAACCAAAAGACTGAATGTTGTCACTGCTACTGCTTTGCTAGAGAGAGACCTGCTGATTAGAACAAACCTAATAGGCCTGATGTAAGCACGGTTGTCAAGTGTTGAAAGTTAGTCAGGCTCTGTTTGATGCTGTTAGTTTCATAGCTTCGTGTAGAGCTTGAGGGGCTGAAACTTTAAGGTTCAAATAAGCCATTAAAGCACCAGAGGTGATAAGTTGTTTTGTATTATTTAAGTCTCACTAGATGCAAAAAATAAGTTTTATTTGAATTTTTACATTTTTGTATTTTATCTTGTGACCACAGCGAGTATTAATGAAAGGCAATAACTCGCTTTAATATGTAGAGATAATTTTTAAGGGTAAGCAGTTAGTTACAAATAATTAAATTAGGTAGTTTAATAACCTTAGTCATTATGGATTTACATGACCACTATTAAATTTTACTTTTAACAATATTTGTTAAAAAAGCCCTATTAAAATCAAAATCTAATAAAATTTCACAGATTAAAATAAATGTAATTTATGACATTGATTCTTAAATGATATTAGGATAATTACACATTAAAAGCTCTAAAACATTTATGTTTTGTAACAACAACAAAATATTTATCCATCATTTTAATTTGAAGCCTTCCCAAACATTATGGCTAATTTATATTGATTTCCTTCTCTTTAAGCATCTTTTCTAATCAGAGTTTCAGAGTTTTGTCTCAATATGCAAACTAGTGCTCTAACTAGTTTCTACGTGCTTTATCTCCTAACTTATCAACCTCTCCACAATGTACCTATGAGAGTTTACTTGATCTGGTAAAAGTTAAATAATCCCAAACCCCAGAAAGATGTGAAGCAAATTATCCCTATGTCTGAAAGTAACTACACAGGGTTCATAGCCACATTTTAGTTAAAAAAATAAGAACCTATAAGCACTTTTCAAGCACATTTTAAGGAAAAAAAAAAAAAAAATAAGCACCTGTCTAATTACATTATACACAACTACATAACCTTAAAAATTAGACTTGTAATTTAAAATATGAGAAATGCAGTATTTATTAAGAGAGAATAAGCATTACCTCAACCATGGAAAATAATTACTTTTTTTTTTTTTTTTTTTTTTTCTAGTTTACAATGAGAGAAAAAAACTATGCAGAACTAAACTATATTACAAGATTTAATGATGAAATTTCAGGTCAAAATACAGAAAATAAATAATAATAAGGCATATTTATTGTATTCGCTTGGAACCTAATAATAAATACAATTTATATTGATATTTAAATAATTTAAATCTAAATTCTGAACATTTTCTAATTTTTCATTCTCTATCAGTTTTTCCTTAACAGATAACAGAAATTTGCTTCATGCAGTCATCCTTTAACAGTAAAAGCTTAACTAACCCACATACTTGGAAATTGGCGAATATTCGGGCAGTCGAGCGTAACTTGAAAAAGAGGAGCGGGGGGTAGACTGTAGACTCTAGATTCCGCTAAATAAATGCTTTTGACATTTTGATATGTGCATCATATAAAATTAAACCAATGGAACTGAAAAATATTCTGCTTAGCAAGCACAGTAAAACTCTTTTAAGTGTTCATAAACAAATCTCGGACAGAACATCAAAATTAATTATCTCTGCAAAATATCGCAAACGTTATTGCGCAATACGTGTGCCGTAATTCTTCCCTACGTGATATTACGCGATTGGAATCAACAGCTGCCGGTATTGGGAGAATAAAGAACTAAATAACTGGGTGTTTTTCATTCTAATTTTCAAAAGACGGCGTTAAATTTCCGGAATAGAATAATTCTTCGCCTGGGTTGGTAGACCGCAGAACTTTTAGTCTCCAGATTGGAAAGTGACAAAAAAAAAAAAAAAAAAAAAGTCTGTTGCTTGTTTTGCAGCGAACTGTAACACTTTCAATATTCGAGATTTTGCGGAGAAAGGGGAGAACCTCCCAATCTTCGTACTGTATAATGTATTGGCCAAAAAATTGAAATTATTTTGACTATTCGATTACTTTCCCTTTATTTAAGCCATTCCGAATATTATTCCTTAGAAAGCTAATCTGTGTTAAAGCACAACCATTTTTGGAAGTTTACTATACTTCAGCAGTTACTGCAACTACGTTATTATAAATATTCACACATATGCTCATAATATAAGCATAATGACCATAATAAACACGAATATGAACTGACCAAGCAGAACAAGAATGCAAACTATTAAGATCTTGATAGAAATTTAAACGTGTGTAGTATTTGGTTGGGAGGAAAAGAATGCCGAATGTACCGGAATTTTCTACTGCTTTCGCAATTCTTTGACCAATAGAACGACGGGGCAGCTGTCTGTACTCTCTGTGCACACCAAAGGTTAAGTTAATGCAGAGAAAGGGGGAAAAGTTATTTCCAGGAGTATGATTCACCATCTGACATTCCATATTAGGAAGAAAAGTTGTTTTAGTTTCAGCTTTGGTATGGAGGAAAAATAGCATGTTCATTTTAAAAAAAGCACTAAAAAGCAAAAAATAAGCACTAAAAACAAAAAAATAAGGGCTTTAAAGAAAAAGTAAGCACCTATAAGGGCCTTTATATTTTATTTTCAAATATAAGGACTTATAAGCACTTATAAGGACCGCTACGAACCCTGCTACAATATCAGACAAAGGTTTAGATAAGCCTCTTATTTAAAAAGAACTTATGACATAAAGGCATGTTCTGATACTAACAAAATCAATTACAGCTCACGGTGACGTAATTAAACAAAAGCAGTCAAATTCAGACTCAAAATGTGGACTAGTTGTCAAAGACTGTATTATTTATTTAATCTGGCTCAGTAACTCTACATATGAGGAAATAGAAATGGGAAATTATAGTAAAGGCTGAAATCATAAACAGTTGAGTGATTTACATAATAATAACTGCACATATCTTTGAAGAATAATTTTCTTTATGTATTCAGTTTCTTTCTTCAACACAATTCCTTTTCATTTTAGAATTTTTGATTTAATTAAGGGTTTCTGTTATTCTAAAAAACACTAAATGCATTTATAATGTACAGAGAAAGCGGCTAATTTTATTTCTTTAGTAATATGAAATATAGTATATGGTAAAGGTAAGTTACAGAACTGGTGTGGCAGAATTTTTAGAATTTAGTGACACACTGAACCGCAAAATCTATAAATGACAAAATTTTTAGAATTTAGAGCAGGCACTAAAAGCAGAATTTAGGATCCACAAAGACTACATCAGGTGGGAAAATGTTTAGTGCCAGTTATGTGTATGATGCATTAAAACATATTAGATGAATCTTTTTAAATTGTAAGTTTTCAATTTCTTTATTAATAAAAAAAACTCCCTTTCTATAATGCCTACCCATGTGATAAGATTAGAAGCTTTTTGATATTTTCCAAGCTTGTGTCTAGTGAAAAGTAGAGAAAATAAAGGGAGGATAAACATATTAAATTCTAGTATCAGAAATGAAACATTCAAATATTATGTTTTCATTGTTCTTCCAGATGTTCTCCAAAAAGTAAGAAATTCATTGCAAACTTTCTGTAAAATACATCCATTACATGTTGATATCATGGGGACAATTTTCATATTGTTACACAGTTCTCGAATCTTCTAGAATCGTGGCTCTATAAATCTTGCCTTCAAACCCTTCTAAACTTTCCAAGCTGCAATGTCTAAAATCCTAAAAAAATATCCCTACCAATTCTGTAACACCCGACGTATTCATTGTTGTTCATGGCTAGTCACGCACCCTACCTCTCTTAAATGTTTCACAACCTGTAGGATGGTTTTGTATGAAGGATGCGGGCCTGCAGGAAAATGTTGCCGATGCAACCACGCTGTGAGCGCAAGGCACAAAGCCTTGTGCTCATATTCACTTTAAGTAGAACCATCTCACAATAATCATTTTTTGAAAATCGCTCCATGACCATGAGCTTGAACATGCAACCATGAGGAGAAATCTCTTTTATAGCTGTCTTAGGTGAACAGGTGTGACGTTTCATACACTATTTGCATAATGCACAAATTCGCACACCAAGGTCAAGTTCTGTTGTGTTGATGTGTTTTGTGACATGATTGTACACGGTATGTTGTCTAATCCGTTTGTAAAGATAATCAGTATAAGGATGCACCCCACAGAGTTTGAATCACAGTCTTCTAAACTGTGAATTACAAGCAACATCACTGTGCTGCGATACGGCTATGTTTTTCATCTGAAAGATAATCTTTTCTCCTTCGTTCAAGTTTGTGATGTCACAATTTTAGAAATCGCAAAGAAACAAATGTGCATTTTCAGCATTCTGTTTTTAGCATTCATATTCACAAGTTGTCTATTCATATTAAATCAACGATACTCTACAACTTTGTAATTCATTTTTTCTTCCTATCTCGTATCATTTTTGAGATAGGGAGGCTAACTCTGCCGTCTCTTTAAGTAGGGCATAGCCACTTTAATATACCTAGACACCAATTTTATGAATATAGCTGCAGCTGTTCGGCAGTTAAACGGGTGGAACTGGACTTTAGTGGGCACCCTGTATATTAAGAAAATCCCTTAGTTAAAAACCTACCCACAAATTCTATTCCAAATGCAATAACTGCTCAAGCCCTTACGCGCCTTCCTAAAATATACTTTGTATTAAAATAAGAAAGTAAATTATTTCGATGCAAACTGACTGCTCAAAAGCTTCTAATGTGTACATATTACAAGATTTTTAGTTGCAGTTAAAAAAAAAGTCAGTAAATAATCATCAAAACATAACATACCATACTTGATCTAGGACTAGAATGTTTTGTGCTTTGTGAACTTGATGGTCCGCTACAAGGCCAACTCCGTACACCTGAGTGAGGCTTCTCAAATGTCATTTGGTTGATGGGTGAAATGCTGAAAATATTTTAAAGATAATTTAATGAGACATACAAAGATAAGGTATTATTAATTTGTGTATGTATATATAAATATACTGTGTCCATAAAAGCCATTACCTGGCCCTTATTTTTGCAACCGCTGGTCATATATGGATACTTCCAACTACAAAAATATTTAAAATTATGAAAATATTTACTGTTTTAACCTTACAAAATTTTAAGATATCAGTTTTGTTAAAATTTTAAAATCTAACATTCTACATGTTTTTCTAGTTCTTACACTTTGCAAAAATTTGTGCTCATTATAAACATAACAATGCAAAAAGTTTTATTTCCGTATGACAAAAATTTATCAATATATTGCATTTCAAAATTTTTGAATTTTGTAATTTAGATTATAAATTTCCTTTAGTTGATGCTGAATATCTTAGGCAAGTGTTGATTGATTTTTAATTATTGCCTCTAAGACAGCTCTGGAGTCACAGCAAACAACCACAAGCAACCATTTGCTTATTTCTCAAGTACATAATATTCATGTAAGGCTTTGTTTATTGCTCTCAGCTTGCTGATGAAATCTGGGGTGAAGGTGCCTACTAAAAACTTATGGTTCATGGTTATACCATTTGGTAGCATACATTTGGCATATTATATTAGTATGCCAGCTCTGCCATTCTAGATAATTTCATCAGCTGAGCTGTCAATAATGCACTGACAAGGTTACTTTCTGATATTGCTTTGATCATCTGCATTCCCTTTGCAAAGATAAAAGTAGTTTATTCTTCTTTTTTGATCTTGAGGTATTGATTCAATGAAGTTGGTACAAATCACTGTAGTCTTGGGAATAGTTGTGAGTAAAAGGCTTTCAAGTACTGCAGATATACAATGATCAAGACTGATTACTTGTCTTATTGCAGAATTGAATTGTAAAGTAAGTCTAGTTTTTCTGGACCAATTCGAGACAGATGTTGGAGATCATGGCTTCTTTGAAGCTGATGGTTGATTAGAATGTGGCATCAAAACCCTTAATGCTTCTGTTATTAAGGTTTTTGATGAATGATATGTTGGGGATTATGGCTTCTAGCTTTGTTAGTGAAGCTGATGCCACATTCTCGAACTATTTTCTTGCTGTTTGTAGAGGGAATTCCATGAATATTTCTATATATTGATTTATTACAATAATTTGCACTAAAAATAAAAGGTGGGTAAGGACTTTTGTGCACATGGTGTATATCACCATGATATGGTCTACTTAATTTCTGCTTAAGATTTTAAAATTATTTTATTCTGACTTATATATAACTGCGTATTATAATTAATTTTGATTTATTATTATTATATATGTATGTATGCATGAGCATGTGTGTATGTCTGTGTGCATATATAAACAGAAAATCAATTTTACTGAGGGGAATTAGTCACATAATAAAATTCCTAAAAAGGAATTGAAATGTACTAACTTACCTATTAAATGATCTGTTTGCTTTATCAGTGCTTAGGTTATACCTTTCAGAAGGTGAAAATTCCCTAGATGCTATGGAAAATAAGAACAATAATACATAAAATGATATGATGAAGCAATTAAAATAGCAAGAAATACACAAATTAGTTACTAAAATGCAGGAATATAATATGTCTAGAAGGAATACTTAAAGAAAGGAAAACAGAAACACTTGGATAGAAATAAGTCATAATGCAGCAAAAAGGTAATCCATGATTTTTTACATTTAACATTCTACATAACATATAACAAACATACCAAACTCTCTACTATTAGCTTTATTTTAAAATTTCATTTGCATAAAAACAAACATTTATTTAAAATTATAGTGTTGAAGGAAAAAAAGTAAAGAGATAGCTAACAGAGAGTGTATCATTTTTTTTTTTAATAATGATAAATAAATTACATAAATTAATTTTTAAATATAAATTTTAATAATTTTTAACAGTTATAATGCAATTATATTGTTAAAACAAATTATACTTTTTAAACACTTTTAATTCATTTTCAATAATCTGAAATTGAATCCTCTAATGCGTCCACCACAGGCTGAGTGGTAAAGTTGCTGAAGCAGTAGTTCGATCTCTAGGTTAGTACCATGTTTACCTGAAACTAAGAACTCGTCTTATATTATTTTTTGCTGCAAAAGACACACTATGGCTTATTTCCAATGTTTTATTTGTCATGCACTATAATTAACATTTGTTCATATTCAAGAAACACATTTCTTCAGGTTCAAGAAATACATTTATTCCCAAGTCAAGAATCATTCAAAAATAAACAAAATCATTCATTCTAATGCAGCCATGTTGTCTTCTAGAATCTAGAACATCATTTTAAAGCTCCAAATCATGAATGCTGGACTAAATTTTTTGCTACTTGATTTCCTCCAAGATAATGGCCCTATCCTCTCATGTTCAGCAACAGAGTTCTCCTCAAATGAACTCTTCTAGCCCATGTAGCCTGTGGGGCACTTGCGAGACAGCTGTCCATCATTTTATTCCATGCATTCTTCACCCAAGTAATGACTTCTTATAGCTTAGGATTTGCAAAGTCTCTTGCTGATTTCTCTCCATTCTATTTTTAATGTAGTCATTGATTTTCGTATGCATATGATCTTTAAATAGCTTGTTTATTGCAATATCAAAGTTTGGAGATATGCAATCATTCCTGCAGCAGTCATTATTTGATAAACTCTTTCCGCAAGGGAGTTCAGATTTTGGTGCAATAAGAGCTAGCAAAATCCCACATTAACATACTTCTTTGGACATTTCACAAAACAAATGGTAAATTGACTCACTTTCATATTGCTGCTTGTGTGCACCAAACATTTTCAGTCTCAAGAACGTAAATATGTGAAACACATTCAATTTTCTCTTTTTTGCCCTTAAAGATGATTAGGGGGGAGGGACGTCTTTCCCTTGAGTTGAACTGCCAAAATACATGTAATGCATACACTTTTATAACCAGTGGAGGTACGTATATTACAGCGGCACTGTTCTCATCAATGACAGTTTGAGACCCTTGACCTATTGCAGTTTCATCCATACCAATCATATTCATGAGTTAGTATTTAAGAAGTCAGTGTCATCAATGAAACTCTTGAATGCAAATGCATGTGTAGTCACTTCACCACCTTTCAGATCGAACAGTGCTGTCGATCTTCTTAAAGACAGTTCATATAGCTGTAGGAAGCCGTCTGTCCAGTATTATGATGCTTTGATAGCGTCTCGTGATATGTCTAGCTGTGGTGCGATTGCAAGGCCAAATGGTTGAATGGCTGCTCTACAGACAACCAAACTGTCAGCAGTCCATTCACAGATGATGTGTTCAATTCAGAAAATAATGGTTTCTGACTCAATCCACATTTATGCTTCTTTGCATTTCCCTTGTTGACTTATTGATTGTGGTTATCATACTCTGCCATTTTCAGACCATTCGTAGATCTAGCTTCTTCTGTTTGTAGAAAGCTATAAGATTTTAAACCCTGGAGTCTTCCACAATTACTTTCTTATACTCAACCGAATAGCTCTTTCCTTTGACTCATATTATCTAAGTATCAAAATTTAAGAGCGTTCAAATTTACTATTAACGTCCACTGCTAATGTGATGTACTGAATACTGAATATTTTAATTTGTCACAGCCACGTCTGTTTGTTGCAAACGTGCATGCGTGTGACATCTGTACTTGGTCATGGCTCATGGTCTTACACTAGGGCTTATTTTTTTATTAAGTCTTATTTTCAGGGAAACAACACGGTAATAGTAAGATAGTAATCTGATAGTGAAGTAGTAGTTCGACCTAGGTTTGATTTTAGGTGAACAAGCTAGCTTTATGGTTGTTTTCATGGATTTCGCCAACATGGATATAAATGAGTTTCCCTGAGAAGTCCTACATGAAGGCTTCCTTTCCCTTAGGCAGATAGCACTCGCATAACCAAATAAGCCAATAAACGCTCTAATTTCACTTCAATATCTATTTAAACGAACATTTAAGTTTTTTTACCTAAATATTTTAAATTTTAAAAAAAAAAGTTAACTTTAATCCACAATATGCAGCCTTTAAATTGCTGTTTATGACAAGTAAACAAAATTTCGGAACTCTTTAACCCGTTTAGTAGGTGCGTGTCATATGTGCATCGGCAGCAAACATTACCTCACGGCCGTGTGTGTCATATTTGAATCGCCATTTAATTCACTCTACCGGCCGGGCGTATCACATTTAACTCTTCAGATAGAACGTTTAATTAATATTTTTTGTTGCCACTAGATGTAGCTGTATGCCTGTTATGGGGAAATATATCGAAAGTTAAGTATGTTTACCTTGATTCCTATGCAATGATTTTAATTTTTGGTATTTTGTTTCCGAATGAGAGTGAGAATCATGGGTGGGTGTTTAGCAATGTAATGTCTCTTTAACTGGTCATTTGATGTAAACAAATGCACATGCTCTGCCTGCATTGAGGTACTTTTTACTTTTATTTTTGCGATATAGTGGGATAGATGTTCTATCATTAGAGATATTTTTATTACTCTTATATTTTCCCTTTTTTGTTATTACTCTTACATTTTTCGTACTTTGGGATGAATATTTTTAATCGTCAGCGAAACGTATCTTTTTTAATGGCAAACGAAAGCAGTATCTAAACGTTGAATATACACAATCGCTAATTCGTTAGTGTTGAGTAATGTAATTGCTCTTACTGTGTCATTTTATATAAACAAATGAACATGTTCTTGATGCTCTGGAATACTTTTAATTTAATTTATTAATTTTTCTTATTTTTATTTAATTTTTCTATTGGTTATAGTGGAATAGATGTTCTATCATTAGAGACTTTTTTATTACTCTTTGAGTTTTTCAGCATTGAAACGAACATTTTGTATCGCTTAGCGAAAGTTATTATTATTTTTTTTTAATGGCAAAACAAAAGCACTATCTGACCATAGAACATATACAAATGCTAAATGAGTCAGATTTACTGAGTAAAATAGCAGCAGATATTATATTCCTGTGACTAATGCAAGGTTGGACTTCTTGCATACACCCATGTTTCAAAGAATATCATACACTGTCTCATTTTGAAACATTGCTTATTTTTCGTTGTTGGCTCTTTGAATTTTTATGAAAGACAGTTTTAATATTTTTTAATTTTAATTGTGTTTTGTGTTAAATAAAATCTGCAATTGTTTGGATATTTTTCCATATATATTTATTTGTGGGATACGGGGGAAATTATATTATTCTAGAATGAGTATTTTATAAAATTTTTAAGGAAAATATATTAATAAAGGCTTAAAATTAAATCTGACGACTACCTGAATGTTCTTCTCATAATGTACCCAAAATTGGAAAAATTAGATGACAAATTTCATTTATACGAATTTTTTTCCAAAGTTAGGCTTAGCACCGTAAATTGGAAAAATAAAATCCCACAGGACAACGCATCTGGTTAACGCGCCGTCCCAAGAGGATGCTTCGGTAACAGAGGTGCCCGTCACGAACAGGTTAAAAACTGCTATTATTTGCTAATGTACAAAACCTTTCAAAACTTAAACATGATCTTAAAAAATTAAAAGATTATATACTTTTGTTGAAAGTATATGCTAAAAAAAACTTATACATAAATCTTAAAAAATTATTATGAGCTCACTAACTATGGGGAAAAGTTACTCCTCAAAATTCTGCTTTAAAACTTCACAAATTTAATTCATAACAGAGAAACTACTTCATTCAATACTCACTTTAAATTATCTTCATTTTCTTAGAAGTTACTTTGAAAACTTTAATATTAAACATTTCTATATAATTAATAAATAAATGAGTGATACATATCATCTTTTTAAAAGTTATTTCATGAAAGAGTTTAATAAAAATCTACTAGTTCATGATTTTCTACCTTCTACATTTAAATTAAGAAACAGTAAACTGTCTCCTTGCAATGACCTCCCTAGGACATATATGCAGCATAAAACTGGTGGCCTCTCTCCTAGCACAGGAACAAGAACACAGCTCAAAAAAAAGTCTTGATTCAGTGCCATTGTCAATCCTATGCAGATAGTCTAAAAACAATAATTTAAACATATTCTACCCCTCTTAATTATGTGCTATTAAAATCATAATTTTTGAATGCAGTATCCAGTACATAATGCTGCCATTCCTATGCCAAGCTCATCACATTCATGTCATAACTGTGTGAAGGTGACGGCTTTACATTAATTTTCTTACTAAGTATAACATTATTATCAGGATATCTACTTTATTGTGTAAACCATGTGCATGTGTCAGTTCTAACCCATACTGGTCCAACATGCAACATGTCAATGCTAAAAATGTAACCTCCGAAGACAATCACCTCACAAGGTGACCGATATTTATGTATAATTTATATATAACAGCATACATCATAGCTGCTAACTTTTAAACATGGGGAGGGGAAGGATTTCTGTGCCACACAACAGCCTGATTTCAAAAGAACTCCAAACTATCAAATTTCACTTATTTAAATTTGATGGTTTGGAGTCAAATGCACAATTCAGGTTACTAAACTAGTTGTAACAGATTCTGATGTAAAATACTATATTACATTAAAATTTAAGAACAACAAATTAAATATAATTAAAATATGATTTTTAGCTTTAAAAAATACTCATGAAAAGCAAAGTACAGAAGGGAAACAATGCATTTATCAAAATGCAATGAAAATTATTTGATAATTAGTGCATCTATAATCATAGGGATCAAATTAGTAATGCAATATTTAAAAATTTACAGCAAAAATGAAATACCAATGTTTATCCATAAAACATTAGTTTTCATAAAATGCTTTACTGCTAAGAGATCATAACATTGTTGCTTCAGTTTTTTTTTTTTTTTTTTAACTAGCATCATACTTTTCTTTACAGCATTTCCTTAACACTTAGTAATCAATATTTCTTTATGTAAAAGAGATTATGTAAATTCATGTAAAAGAGATTATCTAAATTCAGACATATTAGAACCTGAGATATTTGGAGATTTACTAGGAGATCGGAAGATATAACAAAAAGTCATGAGTCTCTGCTAGTTATACCAGAAGCACCGGCAGCTTTTATATGGAAACATTGGTACTGAACATAAATTCTCTAGATAATGACTGAAGACCAAAATCACCTTTGAGTGGATATCTTAGAGACTGTTCACTATATACACAGGGTGTTTCATAGATTATGGGACAAACTTGGAGGGGTGGTGGAGTGTACTAAAACATGCATTTTTTGTATGAGAATGTAGGGTCTAAAGTGACAGGTTAAGGCAGGAACGCAAAAAAACAACATGAGAGGAAAATGTGTTTATGTACAAAATCAATGCAAGGTGCTTCTTTGCAGCAATACAGTATTCAAAATAAATGTTCAAAAAAAGGAAACACTAACAGTAATAGGAACTACAGCTGTGATTGGCTGGCAATGCAGCGGTAGAGGGCAGTAGTAAGCCGGACAAACCACGATCCGATGCATCAGAGGATCATTCGCAACTCTGATGTCGAGCGTGATGGGCGAGTTTACGCACAGGGAAAAAAAGCTGACATGCATCTCATGTATGGTGCTGCTAATGGGAACGGCAGAGCAGCGCTACGGTTGTACCAGGAATGGTTTCCGAACAGGCGTATGCCGAAGCACACAATGTTCGAAAGGTTGTATCGGTCTCTGTGTGAAAACGGGCCATTTGAAGCCACCTCTGACACTAGGAGTGGAAGAAGTGCACGACAACCTCGCATTGAAGAATCCATCTTGAACATTGGGCATGAATCACCTCAGACAAGTACAAGAGCTATTGCACGTCATCTGCAGCTGAGTCATTCCACCGTTTGGAGAGTATTGCATGAAAATGGTTTGCACCCATACCATTTGCAGAGAGCCCAAGCCTTGCAAGAGACAGATTACCCTCTTCGAGTTCATTTTTGTCATTGGTTCTTGCAGCAGTGTGTGGCACAGGCAGATTTCCCATCAGATGTGCTATTCACGGACGAGGCAACTATTTCACAGGACAGCATCTTCACTAGCCACAACATGCACATGTGGGCAACTCATAATCCACACGCCACACATCTACAAGCATTCCAAACCCGCTCCGTGAATGTGTCGGCGGTTATTGTTAACAACTACCTCATAGGGCCATACTTCTTACCTGCATGTACAAATGGCTTATGTTGTCATATTTTTCTGCAAGAGGTGCTACTGGAATTGCTGCAGGATGTTCCGGCTGTCGTTCGTGATCGCATATGGTTCCAGCATGATGGTGCACCAGCTCATAACCACATGCGAGTCCGCAATTACTTGGATGGGACATTTCCGGCCCATGGATTGGCCGTGGTGGAACCGTTTGATAGCCACCCCGTTCACCAGATTTATCCAGCTTGGATTTTTTTTTTAGCGGCCATCTGAAGAGCATCATTTACGAGACTCCCGTTGACTCACTGGAGGACATCGTTGCACAACTATCCATTATGGTTGCAAGCGTGCGCAAAATGCCTGTCGCTTTTCAAAATGTTCATCAATTCCTTCTGCGACGTTACCAAGCATGTATTACTACTGGTGGTCGCAATTTTGAACATTTATTGTCAATACTGTATTGCTACAAAGAAGCACTTTGCGTTGCTTTTGTACATAAACACATTTTCCTCTCGTGTAGTTTTTTTGCATTCTGCTTTAACCCATCACTTTAGACCCTACATTCCTATTAAAAAAATGCATGTCTTAGTACGCTCCACCACCCCTCCAAGTTTGTCCCATGATCTATGAAATACCCTGTATATATATATCTAATATAGACTTAATTAACCAATATATTTATGCGATTCTATTTATTGTCAGACAGAATCAATTTCACGAATCTATCTGATATGAAATAATAAATTAATTTTCTAGTATTTTGTTTTAAATGCATTATCTATTTTATATAATTATACGTTTTTAGCATTTTTAACACATTTATACCTATCTTAACAATTTTAATATTTCTCTGAATTCCAATACAAATGAACATGAAAATTTAAAATACAATTCTAATAGAATTTTACAGTTGCCTAAATACTAGCGTTTTCTTAAATCCGATTTACTATTATTAAACAACACTATTACTAAAAAAAAATCTTACTTCTGTCATATTTATCTTTCAGAATTTTTAGAGATGTACTCAGTCTTGCTCTGTGACTTCCATTTTTAATTCCAATATTCTTCAGATCTCTTTCGGACATCCACAAAATATCCTAGTAACAAAGAAACATTTTAAAACAGTTCTTAAACTTTACAAATTCTATACGTAAAAGCCCACAAACACACATATTTTTAGTCACAATATTTAGAATCAGAATGTCTAAAGAATTTTTTCCGATTAAAAATTGTATTCTAATCCTGAAGTATTGGAAGTCTTATTCAAAAATGCACCTTTTAAATGTTTTACAAAATAAAAATTAAATTTGCAAAGCTAAAAATAATTAATTTTGAATGTTGCAACACACATAATATCCAAAATAATACACTTTCACATATGTTCTTTATGTAATGCAAATAACTTCTATATTCTTTATGTAATATAGATAATTTCTAATGGATAATCAATCTTCTACCTATATTATGGATGGAATGATGGGAGTTAATGTCACTTTAAATTCAGCCATATAATATGTGGATATCTTGAACTTTTTTTGTATTGACTATTTTTTTGTATTGACAAAATCCAAGAGAAAAAAAAAAAAAAAAAAAATCGCAACAGTGTGATATCAGGCATGGATAGTGGCCAAAAAACTGGATTACTACAATCATTAGTTGTCCTACATCTATCATATTCTTATTTTTAAATTTTACAGCCCAGAAACAGCCAACTATACTAACTAGCTTTAAGATGACTATTATATTATACAAGTTAAACACATATAAATTGTCCCTATGTTGAAACTACTACCCGATATCCAGCAAAACAAAGAATGGGATTTTTTCTTTTGTTTTTTATTTTTTAAATTTCTTCTATTTTTTTTATTTTATTTTTAAAGATAATGCTATTTTACATTTATTAGACTGGCACTGTTTGTGCACTAAATCTCATGATAAATCACCTCTAAAAAATAACAAACAACAGATCAGCATTAGATCTACGAAATGAACACAATATATATTATATTACCTTGTCAAATATGGGATTTAAGCGGGACTTCTATGCCTTTCATCAAATTACAATGAAAAAAAACCTCTTTTCACTAAATTATTAATAATGTACCGTTGCATGCATACAGGTTCATAATGGATTGAATGCACACTGAACTGATGATAGTTTGATAAAATTTATTTTACCGGAAGAAACAGTTTACAGTTTTGGAACTTTCCACAAAAATGCTTGTTATATAGTTTTCTTCCCAGCTGCCAAAAAATCTCTAGTACCTTCCACTTCTTGAAATTCCAGGAAGGCATACGAGAAGCAGACACGATTACATATAAGGATCAATTACATTTATTCAAACATAGTTTTACAGGGACTCGACCAAAATGCCATGAAGTTTGGTGACTTTTGGTGGTTTCTTGCCAAATTTGCCGACAAAATTTAGTCATCAAAATCACTGTCAGCTTGCCAATATCTCACGAGTTTTAGTGAGGTAGTCATTTACATCAGTGTTAAATAGACTTGGCCTGTAATCTTATTTTCCCGGCAAAGCTTTGTCTCTTTCAAGCATTTCATAATAAATTTCTTTTTTAAATTATAATTTCACAATAATTTCAATAAAACGATTTACGTATATACAGTCAAAAGTCTTTAATCCGGAATGATCTATATTCCAGACCTCAAAGCTACAAACTTTCTGCGCATGTGTCAACGCATGCGCATAATACTTTTACGCATGCTCATATGCGTCTATGCATGTGCATAATACGTTTATGCATGCACGTTTAATGTATAATGGACGGTATAAGCTAAGGTAAAATGATCTAATTATCTATTTCAGGTAATGTTGCAGATTGCGTTGTTCCTTAATCTTCTAATTGGATCCAGCTTATTATTTTTTGCAGACTGTTAGAGCAATTTCATAAAAGCAAGCTTGAACTTTTGATTATGTCAAAAAGAATTTCTGATTCTGGAGCTACCAAAGGATCTACAAAGCGAAAGTATGTTTCGATGTCCATCAAACAAAAATTGGAATTGCTGAAAAACATGGATAAAGGCATATGCTTTGATTCTCTAATCATTCCGAAATATGTTTATCAATTTCATGCTGCTCTGCGGGAGGGGGAAGGCACAGCGCGCAATGAACTGGAAGTTGATCTGTCAGCACTATCCTTATCTTCAAGGCAGATGTTTTTATTTTATTCGGCTTATACTTCCTTACTAAATGAAGTATTTCAGTCGATGTACTCTGTCTTTGATATGATTCAAATCAAATTCCTCCTCATTATAAATATCTCAAATACACATCAAATAGTTTTCTGGTTGCAATTTTCTAATTTCGACTATGCATAATGTATGCTTTACGCATGCACGTGTTGAAAGAAATGTTTAATAAAGTAAACAAATAAATATTAAGCTTTTTTTTTTTTGTAAATTTTGATACCCTTTAGATCATAATTGCTCTTTATTTCATAAATTTTGGTTTCATGTTTTTAATTTTATAATTTCTGCATGCCATCTTACCAGATTTAAACTGATGATCTATAACCCGGAAAAACCTATAATACGGAATCGCCGAAGTCCCGACGAGTCCGGATTAAAGACTTTTGACTATACTACATGCTGAAGAAAAATTAGATATATATACTCCAGTTTTAACCCTTAATTACTGTATCAGAATAACTTTCATTATAGTGCAATCTCAGAAACTGTCGATATAAATTATAATTTAATTTTTTATTAAATGTTATCTATTTAATAATTTATTCATCACTTTATAAACTGCTGATGGTTTTAAAAATGAAGATTAGGTGTCAAATTAAGAGGCAACAAATTTTTATATTTAAATTAAATTATTAACAACTAGAAAAATATTGCAGTCTGCAAGAACACAAGTCTAGTCAACATAAAAATTTCTGAGATGAAGGCCAATTTATCTTAATTTTTCTCATTTTTTTTAATATTACACAGCATTTTTTTTTTTTTTTTCAAATCTAAATGCACTGCTATCATTACTCCAACATTACAGAATGAATATACAACTCGTACATTTCCATATCTTCCTTAGCTCATAAACTAGTTTCAAAAGTTCTGAGTCTGCTTTTAAATTAAGCATCTAAACAGCAACACTTTTTTCGTTACTTATAATGAAGCTTTTATCCAAAATGAATTATGTTCAGTAATTGTTGGTTAAATTTAAAACACAATACAAATAAAAAGCATTGAAAAATTTTTAATGTAATACAAATGAAGAAAATGTAATTTTAATAAGAAAAAAAAATGCATGAATTTACAGTGCTTTCAAACAATACATTTTAATGTAAAATAGCTTGCTCTGAAAACTATAAACGATTTCATACTCCACAGTAAATATAGCATTTAAATCATATTTTAAGACCATAATTTTTAATAATTTGTAACATATAATTTGAAAGTATGCTATGACACTACCTAGAATTCATAAAATGATTGACTTCTCTTTTTGCCTAACAGCAACTAATATCTGAACATTTTTATTTTCTTCAATTTTAAAGGCATGCTAAATATATTGCTTTCAATTATATAATTTAAGATTCATTTATTTTAATATAATGAATTGTCATTTTCATCTCATATATGCTCATTTGGTAGTTAATTAATAATAGAATATTGATTAAAGTTACATAAAAATCAACTTCAGATTAACGGTAGTTTTAAATTATTAGAAAAATCCATACATTTCAAGAAAGAAAGGCTTGGGATGAATCTTGACAAATACAATGTAAATCTAAACCAGATTTTAAATTCAATACAATTTAAGAAAGAAAAATTAAGATCAGATCAGTCTTGATCAACCCAAAGTAAATCTAAAACTGATTTTACTTTTGATTGTGTAGTTTCTTCTGCATATTTTTTGAAGTATGATTTTTCAAAGTATAATATGTTTAATTGTTGTTACACAGTTTACTGAATGCTGTACATAGATGTGTTTCTATATTGAGAATTCTACAAAATATTTATGATTATAAATTATAACTCGAAATAACTTACAATAAAGAGTAATGCTACTGGAAAAGCTGCCTCAAAATTCAGTTTAAAATTTTACTAATTTCTTCAACAGAAAATTTCAAAACACAAACTCAAGGAAATAAATAAAGATTATCAAAGTTTAATTACAGAAGTACCATAAATATTTTATCTTTTTAGCTCTGCAAACATTCAAGATCTTTCATGGAATACATTCATTTTCCCCCTAAATCTGAACTCCTTAGTAAATAAATACACAACGGAATAAATAAATTCTACCCTTCTACATTTACAAACCTCAACTCCATTGTAATCTTTCAAAAGACTTCTGTAAATTGTTAAATCTAGCTTGTCCAACCAATGATCAATACTTAAATGTGGTCCAGTGCTTGACATTTTCCCTCGCAATCTGAGAAATAAAGAGCAATAATTTAATGTATGAAAGATAAAAAAACTGACAAGAAACTTTAAAATAAAACCTTTGCGGAAGAAAACCCAAAGTTATTACTAAATTAGAAATACATCTGCTTTATTCAGTTACCCATTAGAATGATCTAATTAAGATGAGATGGAAAATCACACTATCCGTAATGTAATTGAGGTGGGGAAAAACGAAATTTCAACGTACGAAATTCTTAAAAAATAAACTAAATCTCTACGTAAATTACATCAAACTATAAATGGCAATTTAAACAATTTAATCACTATACATCTTAGATAAAATGTTAGTATATCTACAATTCCATATGTTTAATATTGAATTATATCAGAGAAAGATCATCAATACTACATCTGAAAATTCAGTTTATCATCTAAACATAAATATGTTAAATTGTAAATATTTAAATATACCATGTGTAACCAATCGATTCAAGAATCTTAATACTTAAACATAAACATATATTTAATTGGTAGAGTATATGGTGAAGTATACTCACGTCAGTAATTTAACAATGAAAGCACGTGATTTCAGAACTCACCACTACGCTACGCTACAATCATACTGCAATTGATGAATCAAGCCGTGTTTAATGTTTACCACTTATAGTTTTGTATTTGAAATGGGGAATTTTTGTTTCATGGCACAATATATTTCTTCCTTTAGTCTCCACCAAGAAAAGACATATTTTTAAGTAACTCCTTATGTCAAGTTTTCATAAAATAAAAACTAAAGACTGCAGAGAAATTTATTATTTACGTCCATTTTTTATTGCAAATTTAATATGATGGACAGATATTTCATTCCCTTATAGATTTATATTTTGAAATAACCTTAAAGAAACTATTATTTTTAACAACATCCGTTTTCTAGGCTTGAAGGAAGGTGCTTATTTGCTCACATTTGGAGTAGGATGTTGTAACTGAAAGGGGTGCTTTAATTATTTTCTTTCTTCAAATGTTAGGAATTATTATGCAAGAAGTATTTAAAAGGAAACATTTTTACAACAGATATTTGGTGAAATTATTGTTTCAATCATAGATATAGTAACAATAAATATTACTATGCCTATGGTTTCATTCATAAACACAATGTTACTTGAGAGTTTTAATTTCGATATTAGCATTAGAATAGAACATAATTATGTTTAATTCAAATAAATTGAACTGTTTTTGTTATTATCCTTTCGAACAACTAACGATAGGAAGATTTTAACATAAGAGATGCGCAAACTAAAAATTGAACCGCAAACATGTTAACGTGTAAGATTAAACTTAATTCAGACTCTTAACTATTTGACTGTAAAAGGAACCTTTAAAAAATAATCCAAGATAATAGTAATAAATTAAAAAGGAATTAAAAATGACGAAAAAACACGAGTAAAGAATTAGCGTCATAAAATTTCAAAGTAAGAGGAAGATATGCAAGAGGAAGAATTTTATTTATGAGACCATGGCGGCCTTACGGGTAACAATAGTAGTTTGAAACGTGTTTGTGTATCGAGTTGGAACAGTTAGAGTTGGAATAAAAGTAGATTTATGCATAAAAAATGCCCCTATATTCGGTATAATTAATTATATTTTCTAACATTGGAATAAAATGCATATAAGTATATCTAGATTGGAAACTTTATTTTGCATGTTAGTAATGAAATTCCCACGATATCGAATATTTCTATTTTATTATATCTGGTAATCTTAACTTTTTTAATACGTGATGATGTTTGTACGGAAATTTTGAAAACGTTAAATCTGGCCAACGACGGTAGAGGGTGCTGTACGGCACGTCATCTGGTTTTACGGCATAGCGTACATCGCAATGCAAGCCGTGATGTGGCACCTTCTTCTAACTTCGTGCCGTTGATTGCTAATGAATGTCCATATTTGTGTCTTGGACACGTGTGCGTTTTATTATATTGCTCATCAAATTAATGTGATTTTCCAGAAGTATCTTAAAGATAACTTGCAATATTTGCTTTAAAACTTTTTGTGTAGTCATCATATCCCAGGAAATAAAATGGGAAGTAAGTGCAGGAAATGTTTATGCATACTTTGAACTTTAATGAAATTAGAGTATTTAAAATTTTAAGGCTTGCTGGTAATAATCTTATTAAAATGCTAAGTTTCATTGCATAAATATTAAATGCTTTCATCTTCGCTGTAGCTCATATCTTCAGCAAACTGATTAAACAGCTGTAATCAACTGCATAGCACTGCTATTTCCTCTCTTATCTCTGTAAGATGCATCATGATATGTTCATTTTACCAAATTAATTAATTTTTACTAATTATACAGACACATTTCTCTCATTAAAAGATTGCGATCCTGTTTTCTCGAAATGTAGTTTATATGCTTGAAAAGGCATAATTCAATTTTCTCTGACATAAATATGGTCTTCATTTGCTCTTACCAGATTGTATATTCTTCAGCATATGAATAGGCAAGCAGATACTTTTTTATTGCATAAATAAGTCGAAAAGTAAATTCTCTATTTCCCTATTTTCAGTGTGTTTGTGTAAATATTGCCATTAAAATGGGAACCACGTAAAGAGATTTCTTACATGGCTCTGTTAAAATGCAAGGATTATTTTTAAGCTGTTTGTGTTTAATTAACTTCTGTCGAACTGTATCAGTGGTATAGACTATAATTTAGTTATTTCTATTAGCTGTAACTTTATAGTTGATTCTGTGGGAAGTTAGTGTTGAAACATTGCCTGGAGAGAAATGCTGTAACCTTTTAACAACCTGAACACATGAAAGTTTAAGTTGTCAGTCCTGTTTTGGGCAAGTTTCATTTTCCCAAATGCATTTGATTGTGGTTCTGTCATCTCGTAATTATTATGATATTTTTGGTAGGATCCTGGTATATTAAATTTAGGTCAGATAATGGTGTATCCTGAGTTTTGTGACTGATGAGTAGATCTAAAGTGATTATTTTTCAGCAAAATAGAGTGTTTTTGAAACTCTTAAATGTAGAGTATCTCTGAAACTAGCAAATTTAGTAAATAAATTCTTTCAGTATTTTTCATTCATACATATTAAAATTAGAACAAAATCTGATCAATACTTCAAAGTGAAAGAAAGAGCAGCATACAATAATTTTAAACCCGTAATTTAATAAAATTTATCCCGGAGAAAAAGAGCATGTATATTTTATAATATGACCTCTTTTTTTCCCCACTTAAATGTGCTTCATGTTTTAGAATTGGTTATGTTTACCTCTTTGCAGAATTTGGATGTTTGACATGGCATTAAATTTTTAATATTGGAGTATTTTAAGATGTTGAAGTTGTTGCTTAACTTACTTTGTTATATTTGCTTTTAACTGCATAAAAAGATGTTAATTTTACAGTGAATTAAACTATGCAACATACATACTTTTCCAAAATTAAATATGGTTTATTTTCATACAAATTCAGTTTTGTCTCTAGAAATACATATTAATCAGCCAATGTGGCATATCATTATAAAGATGTTATTGAATATTTTTGTATGCGTTTTTAAGCTGGAAACTAACTCGTATACATATATTGTTTAATATCGGGCAATTGTTTTCTAATTGATTTTGTGATTGTAATCTGTTATGAATATGCCTATAATACACTGCTGGCCATCTAAATTGTAACACCAAGAAAGACGAGATATCACAAAATTTATTTAGTAGATAGCATGTTGACTAAGTATCAGATGATTAAATTTATAGACTTCTGTGAAGTGTAGTTCCTTCCAGAATCAGTAGCCAGAGTAGCTGCCATTGTTGATCACTGCTGCCACACTCCTCGGCATTGATTCAAAGAGACTTTGGATGTGTTCTTGGGGTACAGCAGACCAAGCAGCTTCTACACGTTGTCAAAGTTGATTTGGTGTGGAAGCTTGAGATGTAATCTGGGTCAGTCGTTCAGCAACCATGGACCACATATTTTCTATCAGCGAAAGATCCGGAGAGCGAACCGTCCAGGGAAGCAATTCAATCTGGCTATTGACAAAGAACCCTTGGACAATGTGTGCCGATCGTGCATTATCCTGTTGAAATATGGCTGTGGGCAAGCCCTGAAGGTAAGGAAGGACAACTGGCTCCAACACCTCAGAGATGTAACGCTGGCTGTTTAAAGTACCGGCAATGCGTGCTAGAGTGATATCCAATACCGCCCCATATCATAATACCGGTGCAAGACCAGTGTGGAGGTGCATAATGCAGCTTTCAGAATCCTCTCTCTACCATGTCTCCAGACTCAAATCTGACCATCGTGGTATTGCAGACTGAAGCGTGACTTCTCAGTATAGACAATTTCATTCCATTCTGCCGTCCACATCCTTCTTTCATCACACCGCTGGCGGCGGAGACGTCTGTAGTTCTGCGTCAAGGGTAGACGAAGCAATGGACGTCTTGCGGACAGAACGTTCTACTGTAAACGGCGTCGAATGGTGCGTGCAGACACTGGATGATGCGTTACAGCCTAATGTGCTGTGCTATGGTTCGTGATGTGACTGAGCGATCTGTCACTGCCATGTGCACAAAGTTCCTGTCATCACATGAAGTGGTGCATTGAGATGGATGCTATCGAACACGTCAGTCTGTCATACCCTCCTGCATCCAATTTCACATATCTGCATTACAGTTGTTTGGTTTCATCCAACACAACTACTGATTTCCCTGAAATATAATCCAAATTCTCGGTAGGCCACTATCCTTCCTCTGTTGAACTCGGATACTTGATCAAACGATGATCGCTGTCTACTACGAGGCATAATTGATCGTTTTTTTGAAAAAAAACCACAAGAACAACACAATTGCCGAACTTGAAATTGTCAAAAACTCCAAGCCTTAAATAGCACTTTGAAGTGGCGCCACAGTCGCGCGTGATGTGCATCTGTACTGAAATTCTAATCATTTGCATATCTCACCTCCGCTAGTACATGTTGTAAATTTCATGTTATTTGCATGCTTCCTTCAGAGTTGCATTTACGGTGGCCAGCAGTGTAGCTGATTAGTGAAACTATTAATCCTTTCAGGACAGGCGTTCCACATACGCATTTCCTAAGAACGTCTCTAACAGCCGGGCGTCTCATCCACACATCAGTAAAGATCGCATTCAGAGGATGGGTGATGCGTATACGCATTTTAAGGTGGAACGTTTTTTTGAAGGCTACTAGATGGCATCCTGTGTCCATTACTTTTGAAATGAACAGTTTTAGGTTATTGACCTTGAGTTTGATATATTCTGCTTGACTTTGGCATTTTACTCATCAGCTGTTCAAGGGTGGGAGACTGAGGGAAAGCGTAAACATAGGTGGCTCTTTAAATCGCTGCGTGCTAATGAAACCATTCTCGTATCTGATTTATATCCAATTCCTTTTTTATTCTATTTTTTCCTCTACTATGTACGGTTTTTTAGGGTACTGTGCGGAGTTTTTTTACGTTTTGCATTGCCTTCAGATATATTTCAGTTCCTCCTTTTTTTATTTAGGAAAGCCTCACCTCAAGCCTATTATGGCAGGAAGGCGCTATTTATCAGAGGAAGAATATCCTCGTATGGTTAGTGAACCATTTACTAATGCAAATGAGAATAGTGATTCATTTTCTAAGGAGTTAAAAAGTGATACTTTTTCTAAGAGTTGCAAAGTGATACTTCTCTGTGCTTGGAGATTTACCACACTCGTTTTCATTTTAAATTTTGTTACACTTCTTATTGTAAATAGTCTTTATTGTGTTCTTTTTATTAATTTTAAACTTTATTGATGGATTTTATCAATTAAAACTTTGGAATAATTTGAATAGCGCTTCCGAAAATTATTTTAGAAGATAAGCAATTTTTTAAGTATATTTTCATGTAAAATAAAGAAAAAAAATGTTTTAAGGGCTAATTTTAACATATATAAGAGCTCAAGTAATAATCTTAAAATGATACCAAAAATTACTATGCTAGAAGCAAAACTTTTGTTTTTCTAATTTTTGTTATAAAATTAGGCTTAGCGAAGCAAACCTCCATCCTGTACAGTGACTGGCTTCGATTCTCTTCCGTCCCGCACGAGCGTCTTAAACAAAGGTGCGCCGTCGCGAAAAGGTTAAACACTGGTAGTTTGACTAAGTTTTAAATTTAAGTGAATGGATAGGCTGCATGGGAGCTTTTGTGATTTAATCCACATGTAACGTGAGTATGAGCCATTTTCCTAAAACAAAAAATAATCTATGAAGTCAACTCTTCCCGTAGATAGCCCTCACGTACTTTGCCTTTATCTAATTAATCCAACCCTTTTATATGATGAATCTTTGTGCTATTATGAACATTGGCTATTTTTGAATGCGTCTTCTATATTGCCATGCACTGTAATATTCCATTTTAAATGTATCTAGAAAACACACACATACAAAAGTCTTGGACAATATCTGTATAGTTGCTGAAATTGGTGAATGTCAAAACTTACTTTCAGCTGTAGTTGAGTATTAAAGTAGGTAAGACACAATAACACGCTGAACAAATACTAATTCAGAAGTCAAACAACAAAAAGCAGCGTTATATTTCCAAATTTTCACAAGACTAGTTTTAATGGTTTTACTGAAACAACAACCTCGGCTGCAAAAGCGCAAATGAACGAGATAGGATATAATGATCAGATAAGGAAGCCTGGACAGAAAATAAGATAATGGTGCCATCTGTTGATGAAACAGAACTAAAACATAATTTCTTTAAAAGCTGAAGGCAGAGATTGATTGGAATTAGGATCGTTAACTAGAACGGAAAGATTTTTTTGAATGGGAAATGCGTCTAGAAAATCCAGTTCTCCGGTCGAAGATGTTTTTTGAATTATTTTAGTAGCAGAAAAATTGAAAGTGTGATTTTCGGACCAACAATGTTGGGCAACAAAAGACTTCTGTGTTTCTTTTTTTTTCTAACATATGCCTCATGTTCCTTAATGCGAAATTTTAAGGCTCTCTTAGTTTGGCCAATGTAAATTAAACCCCACTGGCAAGAAATCCTGTAAATATCCAGGAATTCATATTCGGAATGGGGTCCTTGAGTATGGAACTCGGAATTTAATTGATGGGAGAATAACGATGATTCAGGCCGTTTATTGTCTCCTGTCCAGGCTTTCTTGTCTTGTCTTATCATTATATCTTATCTCGTTCATTTGCATTTTTGCAGCTGATGATGATGGTTCGGTAAAACCATCGAAACTAGTCCTTTGAAAATATAATGCTGATTTTTGTTGTTTAACTTCTAAATTAATAGTGAAACTATGTGCAGATTGTATAACTTTAGAATATTCAGTATAGTTTTAGTAGTTTATTTTTATATTATTGATTGTTTATTATTGGAAATATATTAAAAATGAAATGTTAATTTCATTTAATAAATTAACATTTCATTCATTCATTTTTAATAAAGTATTTTTGTTTGAAGATCCATACAAAATATATAATGAATAAAAATTTGTATAGGTGTTTGGTCTTTCGTTACTTTGTTAAATGTGTTTAAAAAAAATTTTATAATGTGTGTGTCAGTAACTTTTTAAATTTGTAGATTTAGTATTTATGTAATATTGTGATCAATTAACTGTTAAATAAATTGGAGTTACTTTTTTTTCAGTTAAATTTTTAGAAGTAATTAAGCCCTTTTGTGGTATTTTACCTGAAGTGGCTAAGCCCGAAAGAAAAGTAAGTGATAAATTGTTTAAAGAAATTTTAATTCATGGTTTGCATTTTGATTAAAAATTTCATGTATTGAAATATGCTAAAATTTTTATTTATCTATAGGAAAATTGTTATGTAAAGAATTGTGTTATCTGATTATGAAGGATGCATGTAAAATCTGTTTGGAAAGTAATGAGACAATTTTAATAAAATTTATGTGTTTCAAGATATGCTAACATGCACATAACATTCTTAGAGCAATAATATATTATTGCCAGTGATTCTGTCATGCTTTATAGCTCATTGGGAAGTCTTGAGAGCAGGATTACTTTTGAAGTACTTGTCATGGCAGCTGTATGTTTATAAATGTCCCAAATGGAATCTTTTCTAGCTGAATTCAAACTAAGGAAACAAAAGAATCACTCACTCAAGTATAGGCTGTAGCAAGGTGGGAATAACTGTACAGCATATTTTTGTGCTAGAAACTCGCCAGCAAAAATGTATGGCTCAATACATTTTTGTGATGAAGAATCTGGGTACTGCCAGTCTCCAGGCCGAAAAGCACTGATATGTTCTTCATCCATATAAGTATATCTGTGTGAAATGAAGTTTTTATCATTTGTCTGGGTGACTCCTCATGGATAATATTTTTAGAACTGGAAAAGATTGGCAATAGATTTCAAATACCATTTGCTCATTTAAGTCTCCTGTGATTGAGGAGACTAGGTATTTTACTACTCAACATCCTCTTGTTTCATATCCATATTATTCAAAGATCATTAGTTATGAAGTTTATGGCACTTTTGCTTGAAAGATATTTTAATTAATGTGACCAATACAGCTAGCTCTGTGGAATCTAATTACAAAGTGCCACTAACTTCCTCTCCCAAGTTATCAAAATCGAAAGGAATATGTGCATGCAGACCAAGATTTAAGCATTTAACATTAAAACTTTAATGAGTCTCTTCTTACACCAAAGATATAAAGATAACTGTCCACTTGATAAAATTTAAATGTACATTTCTAAGATAATCTTATGAGGCACCACAATTCACTACTTTTTATCAAGCTAAATAAAATCTTTCACTTACTAATTTCGACATGACAGTTCTCGCCATTGTGTACTCTAGCATGAATATTCAAGTGCTACTGTTTTTCATCATTAGGATCTGTCACTCTTATGACAAGACTTGGATGCTGTTCTTCAGGTAGACTTCCAACAGATCCGAACTGCTTAAATGTCTACAGTCTTTTGAAAATCTGCATAAACCTTTGGAGGAAATGAACTCATGATTGAGTTTGAAGTGATAGAAAAATATGGAAATTGTCACATGTTCTTTAAAGAATTAGATTTACTTCTCAGTCATTCCAGAAGATTATGACAAATGAGCATGTTTTTTTCTTCTATTTGTCAGTCAAAACCTTATGTCCCAATCACATTATACTTCCGCGACGTGGGACTTGACATCAAAAGGGACAATTCTCGGAACCCGCACAATTCCAAGAAATTCACGTAGCTAGGTTATAATTTTCACTTACTACAAAGACCTTGAACACCAAACATTAGTTGATTATTGCTCAGATTGTGATCACGTGATGCTTCAGGAGCAGAACTTTCGTCTGATTGTCTCTATCTAGGACAGAGGTTCAGCTGAGACATTTTCAGTGAGGTTTGAAAACATCGTTTCCGTAGCTAGGCGAGACTTCGTCTCAGGCAGAGCTCTATTTTTTTTCTAGAAATCCTCCCAGTTAAATCAAAGCCTCCAGAATCTCGTTTCTCAGAAAAGTCCAATCTAGGGCGAACTGTAGCCAAGTGTGATAACCTCTTTAGGAAGCAGTGTGCTTCCTAAAGAGCACATTGCTCCTCAATCACTTTGCTATATCTGCAGTTTTTATGACATTTTTTACAAAATGGATTTAGAAATTCATATTTGATCTACTAATTAAGACATAATAACACGCCGAATAAATACTAATTCAGAAGTCAAACAACAAAAATCAGCGTTATATTTACAAAATTTTCACAGTTGATTATTGACTGTGAAAATTTGATCTACTGTTGATTTCAAATTAGGCATTAATCAGAATCAGACTTCTTTCAGCTGATTCATAATGCCGCATTTGAGATGTTGGTGGGTACCTTGTACTCTGACATCAAAGTTTTATTTGTGACACCAAAACACTTTTGCTTTCAATTAAGCATCCTTCATGTAGGTGGTATTAAGCATTTCAGTTTTGCATTTTTCAAGTTTAACACTTCATTGCATGTCATTGATCGACACTATTCTGTATTTTGATTGTTTAAGAGGTAGTCAAGCAACTGTCCACAAGTAATTTGCATTTTGTAAAAGTTTAGAGCCACCTGATGAGAAATTGACAATTTGCATAATGTTCTCCATCAACTCTGCCTTTCTGTTGATCTTCCTGAATGATCTAAGAAAATGAGTCTCATTACTTTCCAGACAAAGTTTTCACAATAAGTGAAAGTGCATTCTATCTCAATTGGTCATTATTAAGGTAGAATGCTATTTGTATTTTTTTAAAAGGGGCTGGTTGGAGGAAGGGAGATTTTAGTATCTTAAAATATTTTAGTTTGTAATTATTGCTTGTTAAGAGTTATTGCATGTGTATAACTTCTGTTTGTTAGAAAGGAAGACTAAGCATTGATATAATGAGAACTTATTAGATTTTCCTTCTTTACTTCCTTGCACGAAAAAAAGTGTGAAGTGATAGTGTCATTTAATATATACTAAAAGTTAACGGTAGACAAAATATTTATTTATTAAAAAATTTCAGTGTCGTGTACTTGTAAGGTATTTTTTCCTCTTTACCAAGTACGTTTGTGATGTAATTGGAAGTATAACTAGCCAGTAAGTGGGAAGTCTGAAGTTTGAATTCTGGCACACTTTTTACATTTTTTTTTTGCTCCAAAATAAAATGCCAAACTGATTATAAAACTTGTTGTTCTTGAAAAATTAAAGAAAAAAAATTTTTTTTTCTATCTTTGTGTGTTTGTAATTGTTTTTGAGCAAAGTTTTAAATAGTAGGTTTTTAATTTTAATAGGTACAGAGTTTTAAAGCCATTTTAATTTAATGTCAAAAATCTAACGTATCAGTCTTGTGTTTAATCTCAATCTAACATATTGCCCTTTTTCTTAGTAAATCTTTGTTTAATAATGAAAACATATTTTTCTTCAGGGGGGTAAAAAAAACTTGATAAATTTGATGAATGAATATTAAACTTTTGCTTTTTAATATATCAAGCAAATTAAGTATATTGAATTGTTCTTCTTAAAAAAGAAAAAAACTTATTCAATTTATTAGTTGTGAAGAATTTTAAAATATAAAATTATCTAATTGCATTGCAGCCTTTTATATATTTTGATTAAAAATGGTAATTTTTTGTTTTGTATACATTTAATTAGTTTTAGCTAATAGATAATAAAAGCTATTTATTATTATATTATAAGATTTTTATTTATTAAATTATTGGTTTTCAGTATATATGGTATTTTTCCATTAGGCACATGCTGCAATTTTTTGTGTTTTTTTAAGTGTAAACACACGTGCACAGATGATTTGATCCACAGATTGCGTTATGATTGGTTCTCGATACTGGTTTGTTTCACAGGTGGCAAAAAAATGTGGCATAACAGAAAAGTACCATATATATATTTTAGATTTTTCTTGTAATTGTACATTTATGTGGGTCACTAATATAAAAAATTTTTTATTTATATCAAGAGCAATAATATTCTTCATAATTTATTTACTTAATTCATCTTTCTATTTAATTTCTTAGATTCAGTTTCGAGAGAAAGTATTATGGACAGCAATTACGCTCTTCATTTTTCTTGTATGCTGTCAAGTAAGTTTTCTTACAGTTGTAATTTTATGAGATTTTGCACAGTTTCGAACTGATCATTTTTACTATATATAAATCTAATATATATCCGACTTTTTTTTTTTTCCAAAATGAATTCAGAAGAGATTTTTTTGTGATGTCCGTCTGTATGTAGTATTTTTTGTGCGTAGTTAGAGACGTAGATGCAAAACCCAGTTAACTTTTAGATCTGGCTGTTTCAAAACTTGACTTTATTCCATGGTATTCACATCAGATCAAATTTGCAGAAGAGACATTTATCCAAATTATGCCAAACTGGCAAGTTTTGTAAAAATCGCATGATTAGTTTTTAAGAAATTAGCTTTCAAAATTTTGAGCTCCTCAGTGTTAAATTGAATTTGGTATATACAGTACAAAGTCCATAATCTGGATCTGTAATTTGGACGTCAAAGCCACAAACTTTTTTTTTTGGTATGCTTTACGCATGAGCATGCTCGTGGACAATGAAAAAAAGGAAAGGTAAATAGATTGCTGTAAGTAAAGAAGTTTGCTAAGTGAATTATTCTTAGTACAAAGTGAAAAAAATTGACCAAGGTAAATTTTTAAATGTAATTTATATTCTGAGTCGTGCATCCGAGACATGAAAAACGTAATTTGAATTTCGTCAATCGGCCCAGTGGAACGAGAGAGATAAAACAGTCCTCCCCCACCAGTGTACACTGGTTTTTAAAGGTATGACGTAGGCATCTTAGACTGGGAAGCAAAGCAGCATGGATGTTGGCATGGTGGAAGCTAGGAAAAGGAATGGCATAGTTGTTTTGTAAAAAGTATTTATACTATGAATGATGCATAAGTGCACCTAGTCTGTGTTTGAGTAATTTTAGGTTTTTATGTAACATTGAAAAGTCTCGAATTTGGGAGAACAGATGAATTTAGGGGGGAGAACATCAAAGTTAACATTTGGAAGTCGTCAATCGTTTGTTAAAGCAGCCATCGTATTTTGTTATATCTTACATGTATGTATCTCACATAACTAAAAAATTAATCACCTCAGAATGCTGAAATTTTGTACAATGGGCTATGGTAACATGTAATTGTGCACCTCCCTTTTTCGTTGCAATCAGCGGCACCAAAAGCATATAAATATATATACATATATACTTTTCCTGTTACCCGGCTTGTCGAGCTCAGATTTTTTGTTCTTATATGTTGGTAAATTGCACGCTTTTGCTTTAAAAGTGATTAAGTTATATTGTTCTTATGTTCTAGTTAAGGTTCCTATACCTTTAGTAAATCTGCGTGCAATAGTTGTAGAATTATCAACAATCTAAAAGTTGCTTAAGTGTTACTAAGCGTAACCTAGCAGCTATTTTTTTATATTTGAAACTCTTTAGTAGAATAGTGAATTAAGTCAGTTTCAGCACCTTAAGTGTCTTTTTGCCAAGTAGAACCAAAAGTAAACTTTTCAGTTTTGTGCACCGAAAAAATCCGTCTTCTTGCCTGCTGGCAAAATTACTTGTTTTTGTGTATAAACTCAAATTTTAATTGTAAAAATTGTTTTCTAACTATTTTAACTGTATTGGGTGTTTTATGTATTTCTGTATTTTACAATTTTTAATAAAAATGTCTGAGTTTTTATGTATATTTGCCTTGCCGTGAAGTGAGAATAGAAATAAGAAATATATCTCTAATGAAATTGGAGGAAATAAGTTTAATGATATGCAGCAAAAAATGTGCACAATTTTAATAGGCCATACAAGGAGGTCATGAGGTGTCCTCATCAGATTTTTTCTTAAGAATTTTGAATTTTTCTATCAGCACGCTGACCTTATGTCAGAATTATCTTATGTTAATTGAAAAATTTTGCTGTGATGTATAGTTTGAAATCTTGTATACAGTTCTTTATTTTTGGCCTAGAATGACTACCTAAGCATTTTTTTTTTTAATTCTGACAATAAAAAAAACCTCCATTGTATTACTGTTCAAGAAAATGAACTTTAAAATTGCAACAGTGTGTTTTTACATCTTGAGAAATTGATAAATTTTTTCTAGCAAACAACATATACAGAATATTTGTACTGTAACCCTCTTTGAAAAGTGACTATTAGATATTTTCAAATAAAACCTTTGCCAATTAGACTGCCTTAATCGACCTTCAACCTATTCAGGATGACCACTGAAATGAAATCGTAAAGCATCTGAAAGTGGTTAGCATTTTTCTATTTGACCTAATAAGGTTAGCCCCAGTGTTAAAGTGAGGATATAAAATATAGAAATTTCTGAGATCTTGACAATTCCTGATATTGGACTTGGTAGTAGTGTAATAACATTTGAAAGGTGATAAATAACCTTCAGGTTATTTGAAGTAGTATAATTTTTAATTACCTCTGTTTTTTAGTGTCTTTTATAAGTATTTTTAACTTGTGTGTTAACTTTGTATAAGAAATATGCAATTTTAAATACTTTTGTTTAAACTTTAATGTAATGTTTTTTAGATTCCTTTATTTGGAATAATGTCATCAGATTCAGCAGATCCTTTTTATTGGATGAGAGTAATTCTTGCATCAAATAGAGGCACACTTATGGAACTTGGTATTTCACCTATTGTCACATCTGGTCTCATTATGCAACTTTTGGCTGGTGCAAAAATAATTGAAGTTGGTGATACTCCTAAAGACAGAGCACTTTTCAATGGAGCCCAGAAATGTAATAAAATCAGTTTACTGTTTTAATTTTTTAAAATTAAGATGTAAATATTTATTAATATATATATATATTTATGTCTTTAGTATTGTATACTTTATTTCTCGTGCAAGTTCTTAAAAATATTTATTTACAAATTGATTTCCCCATTTTGTATATTCTGCATTACTGAAATTGTCTTTTTATGTTTTATCTTTTTACTGTATGTTTCTATATATGAATGTATAATTTATGAAAATGATATGAAGATTTTTATTATGAAATAATGTGAAATAATATGAAGGTTTTTATTAAGTTGTCTAATAGAATTGAGAGGATTACTTTGGTTACATTAATTTCAAATTAATGTTTTATAGTAAAATAATTGTAGCTATAATGATGCATAAATGGTAAATGTTTGGAGGGGGAATGAATGAATTGAGATTTATTTGTTAAGCTCTTAATTGGAACACTGAAATTGCACTTAGAATATTCAGAAAAATGTTTTTAATTGGAAAGATTATTATCTAAAGTTTTTCTTATTTAGTTGAAGAAATGGGAATTTTTCAGAAAAATTTAGCCATACATTTTTTTAATTAAATTTAGTGAGAAATTATAATTTCGTTTTTAAAATATATTGCTATCATTTTTTTATCTGCCATGTAGTGGTCCGATTTTTTTTATTGTATTACTTTTTATTTTATATTCCTTTGTTTCCTAGTTTTGAAATATCCAAGTTCAGTTTCTTGTCTTGCTGTAAATAACATCATTTCTTTGTATGTTTATGTTATGTAACTTGTGTTCTTCCACACCATTAAACAAAAAGTAATAATAATAACTCAGACCATTACCTCACAGTATATTTTAAAAAGGAAATAATTATAATTTTTCACTGAATTTGATTCTGAAAAATTCTTATTGCAACTGTCTCTCCTGAACTTGTGGAATGAAAAAATTATTCACAGCATATCACAATACCTTTGTGTGGTAAAAAGTATAGAAGTGTTGTTCTGTTAGAGTAATGTCTTCAAAAAGGAATGGTTCTCTGGTGAAATCTACTGTTAAGTCACACCAAACAATAACTTTTAGTGAACACAGTGGGATTTCTTGAACTGCGCAGAAATCTTCAAATGTCCAAATTTGAAAACTGTGAGTGTTTATAATCCGATTTAGGTAAAAATAGGCCTAATCTTCCTGCAGAATTCCCAACAGCCAAATATCATCTACTTCTATCAAGGCAAGAAGTGTCTGAGCAATTGCCACCCATTTATCATAATTGTGTTTTAATTTCTGCATGTAGTATATCTTGCATGGGTAGAAGTGGAAGATTTTTCTTTAAGATTTGCTATGACATTGAATGATTCAAATCCAATTGCCGCACTAATCCCTGGGCACTATTACTTTAACTAAATGAGAAAAACTGTAGATACTAATCTTACCCAATAAAAATGTTAATCTGCAATATAATGTATGTTCTTGTGCACCATTTTGAAATGTGAAATTTCGTCATAGCTGAAAGATTTTAAAATAAACGCAAAAAACTAATTGTAAGAAACATCAAATTATACACTTCTAAACTATCTGTATTTGAATTTTTGCTGCAAATTTTATTGCCATAAATTTCTCCTACTGGGAAATAAATGCGGAAAGTAAAACTCGAACTTAAATTCCTTATTCATTTCTGTTGCTATACAGAACAGGTACATAATTAGAAATTAATATTTTAAACTTGCTGAGATATAAAGGGAAAGGAGAATATTTGCTTATAATGCAAACAGGAAGAGTATTAAATCATGCCAAAATTAAAATGCTGTGTTTGATTGTATAATTGTTTTTGTTGCGCTTTAATGGTGGTTACAGCTCGTGGACCATTTGAGACTGGCTTGTGATTTAGTTTTAATTTGTTAAAGGAATATTAGATTCAAATGATCTAAAAAAATTATTGTGTGTAAGGCTTTTACTAAATTCAAATTCTCTTAGCAGAAGCTGTGGGTTTTTTTTTTTTTTTTCATTTAGCATGTTATTTAAAATACTTCTGTACAAAATTGAGTTGACATTTATAAATAACAGGAGATAGGAAATTCATCCCCCCCCCCACTTCCTTCATTTCAGTTGAATACAAGACATGGAAGGAATTAAGGAATTGTTACCTTACAATAGCCAAGTTACAATGTTAGTTTTTTTTTTTTTTTTTTTTTTTTTCACTTCAACCAACATCATATTTTTCTTGTCACAGTGAAGATGTCTTAACTTGAAACATGGATAAAAGGCATAAAGTCTTTATAAACTTCTGGTCAGAGTTGAAGAATATTTATATGTAATAATGATAATAAGTAATCATATAAATTAAGAGTTTATTTTGCTTTTTAATTTTATTTAAATTTATTCTATTAACATAGTATTGATTATTAATCATCATCTCTTGCATCAAAGTTTTGACAGGGTATTTGTTTTTAAACTGACACTACTCAGAGACATCTGTAGTTCAATTGGACAACTATAATGCCATCAAATTTGGTAGGAAAAAAAAAATAGTTCCGAAAGTTACCAAAGGAGAAAATGCGGTGCTCTTCTAGACAATATAGCTGAGAGCTAGACAAATAAGAAGACATTTTAGTACAACACTGCTTTAAGGCTGCAAAAAGTGTTCCAAAGATTAGAGATACCTTTGGTGCACCATAGCACTTTATTTAATAAAAGCACTTCCTTTGCAAAGGAATAGACCTCTTACAAGTGTGGCCATCTTCTCTGGATCACGCATTGCATCATCACAACATTCTTGATTGCCAAATGTAACATCATTAAGAATGTTCAGTATAGCCCGTGATATGTTGGCCTTTAAGGTTCTCGAAATTGTCACCCGAAAAGATAGACTTTGAACTTCAAATAACCCCACAGAAAAAAAAAAAAAAAAAAAAAAAAAATAGTTAATAACCAGAGTTAGATCTGGTGAGTGAGTGAGGCAGCCGTCTAAGTGGAAAAAAGTGACTTATAACATTTTCTTCTGTTCTTCTGTAAAGTGATGGCACAACAGGTCACTGTATTGATAAGACCAATGTGCGGTAATGCTCCATCATGCATAAAAGTTACCTGATATAGCAACTGTCTCTCCTGAACTTGTGGAATGAAAAAATTATTCACAGCATATCACAATACCTTTGTGTGGTAAAAAGTATAGAAGTGTTGTTCTGTTAGAGTAATGTCTTCAAAAAGGAATGGTTCTCTGGTGAAATCTACTGTTAAGTCACACCAAACAATAACTTTTAGTGAACACAGTGGGATTCTTGAACTGCGCAGAAATCTTCAAATGTCCAATTTGAAAACTGTGAGTGTTTAATAATCCGATTTAGGTAAAAATAGGCCTAATCTTCCTGCAGAATTCCCAACAGCCAAATATCATCTACTTCTATCAAGGCAAGAAGTGTCTGAGCAATTGCCACCCATTTATCATAATTGTGTTTTAATTTCTGCATGTAGTATATCTTGCATGGGTAGAAGTGGAAGATTTTTCTTTAAGATTTGCTATGACATTGAATGATTCAAATCCAATTGCCGCACTAATCCCTGGGCACTATTACTATCAGCAGTGGTACCACTGGTGCTGTCAATGATTGCCGGTTGCGACATTAGTAATCATCTGTTTTGACAACTGTTTCCACCCTCTACCAAACCAAATTGCCAAGAGTCGGTTTCTTCAGACTTCTGAATTATGCCTTTCAGTATATTGATAGAGGGCCTTTACATAGGTTGTTATGACTTATAAACCCACAAAGAGTGGTGGTTGCATTTGATTGATGAAGGTAAAACAATTTCACAAGTAATGCGAGCTGAGGTAAAGTAAGAGACTGAATTACTCACACTACTGTCAATTACGTAACCGAACATTTACATTTTTAAATTTTACCTGTGTTCCATGCAAATTTTCAGTTGTGTAGACTAGAACAGCCTCACATTTTCCCCTATCGGAACTATTTTTTTTTCCTTTAGTCTTTTTTCCTATGTTGTCATTAGTCCCTCTACCAAATTTGGTTGCATTTCAGCTCATAGTTCCAGCTGAAGATGGTTCCAAGTGGTGTCAGTTTAAAAAGGAATCTCTCTTTTAGGGACTTTTACAAGGTCCTTGAAGAGCTTTTGGCAGCGAGCACTGACCTTCTCCACACTGTTTTCTACCGGCTTTTGAATTACTGAAAATTAAAAAAAAAAAAATATGCGCATTTAAAATTTGATTTTGTAGTAATATAGGCAGCAATATACTGTAAAGAATAAAATTCTCTTTTTAAGAATAGTTTCAGGTATTTGTCTCTTACCCTTGCTCTTTTATTTTTCCTTATTTTATTGGGCAGATTTTTAAATCAACAATCAAATGTTCTTTAATATTTATACTGCATTAATTTAATTTTTTTCGTTGTTTCATAGAGTATTATTTTTATAGTATTTGGTATGGTGATAACTATTGGTCAAGCTATAGTTTATGTGATGACTGGAATGTACGGAGACCCAGCTGATATTGGCGCTGGGGTTTGCATTCTTATTATCATCCAGGTAATTAAAGTATTATTAAACTTTATTGGAGTTAGCAAATATTGTATAATAATTATATTACTAATGTCCCATTTTTGTTGTAGCTTTTTGTTGCTGGTTTAATAGTTTTGCTTCTTGATGAATTACTGCAAAAAGGCTATGGTCTAGGATCTGGAATTTCATTGTTTATTGCCACAAATATTTGTGAAACTATTGTATGGAAAGCTTTCAGCCCTGCTACTGTAAATACTGGAAGAGGTAATTATTTAAAAATTATTGATTTGATGAATTCTGAAATATAAATGGTAAGCAGGTAAAGTGGGGCCAAAATTGTGGACACTTTTAGAAATTTTTATGTTTTTGAACTTTGTATGCTTATAGAAAATGTTATGTTTCACAAAATGCAAACTTGTATATATCATTTTAAAGAGAATTTATTACTGAATTCAATATAAAACACAAAATTCAATTATTTGCAATACAAAAAAGTTAAACAATAATAGTTATCGATATACATTAGATAGTGATGATTGCAGTGAGTTATCAGTACTTAGTAGGGTATCCTTTATTTTGTATTACAGCTTCACATCGACGTTTCATTGAGCTGACAAGAGTTTTAAGCTCTTCTTTCATTATTACATGATGCCAGGAAACAATTATAGCCTCAATTAGTTTCCTTTTATTTGATTGGCGCCTCATTCCCACAAGAGTTTTCAAACGGTGCCACAAATTTTCAATAGGATTGAGTCACGACTGTTTTTTGGCCATGTCAATAATTTAATGCTCTTTGTATGAAACCACTCTTTCGATATTTTGGCCGTGTGGCAAGGAGCAGAATCCTGCTGATAAATAAAGAAAGCATTGTTGGGAAAGAGATCTCTGATGGAAGGTAGAAGTTTTGGTTCTAGAATAGTGTCAATGTATTTTCTGGCGTTCAGTGTCCCATCGATGACATGAAGGCGACCAATATCATTTCCTGACATGCATGACCAAATCATAACACTAACTGGGTTCTTCACAGTAGCTTGAATGCAGTCAGGATTGTAGCTCTTCTCCTATCTACTTACGTCTTTTACATTTTTCGCCCATCACTACCAAATAACGATATCTTAGTTTCATCACTCCGTATAACTTGTGACCACTGATCATCTGTCCATTAATAATGTGTTCCTTTGCCCACTGTAGTTTTTTTTTTTTTTTTCAATTGCTGAAATTAAGATAAGGCTTTTCGTGGAATTCTACCTCTCTGTCCAACATCTGTTAATCTTCTCCTGATTGTTCTTGAACTGACAGAAACACCAGCATCATTTAGATCACTTCTGATGGTGCTGATGACATTGTTCTATCTTGGAGACATAGTCTTTTATTCTTCTGTCATCATAGATGTGGGGTGCAAAACCTTTTTCGGCCTTTTCCTTCTTTGTTTTTATTGAATTTGTCTCCTGATATCGTAAACAGAACTTCGGACTCCGGATGTAGTCACTGAACTACCCACCTGTCTTGCAATTTCAGCATAGGAAAGACCACTTTTCTCATAACGCAATAAGTACATCTCTTCTAGGTGTCCAGCTACTCTTTTATTTGATGTCATTGCTTCTTGACTAAATATTAAAAATGTTTACAAAAATTCCTACTTGTAATTGCAGTGTATAAGAAACATGTCCTCCTTCTACAGAACAAAGTAAAATAATGAATTGTTTCAAGTGTTAAACATGATGTCAGCTTCTACTGGCAGTTACTAAACATTTGATTGGTTCTCAGAACAAGAACGTGATTGGCCAGAAAAGCTAGACATTCAAACCACTTCATAACTGTGTTTTTTTTTTTATATTAAAGTACATATAACTTTTTTGTATTGCATATAATTGAATTTTGTGTTTTGTATTGAATTCAGTAATAAATTTTCTTTAAAATGATATATACAAGTTTGCATTTTGCGAAGTTGCTTACGGAAAACAAACCAGAGAAAGAATTTCTTCTGTCAAAATTCAAATCGAAAAGAGCATTTCTGCTGTTGAACAACAGATTGAAGAGAGAGTTTCTACTGTCGAACAACATATCGATTACAGAGTCAGCAAAGAAATTGACAGCTTTAAGAAATATATAGAGACACCAATTTTGGTGGCTTTAAATTTTCATCTATGCCTTCTCGAACCTCATATTCGATATTATATTAGAAACGCTTTCGTACTATAGCCCATTAATATTGTATGGCTTATGTACTGTTTTTATATTATGTATTATTGTATTACCATCAGTGCTCCTGCAAATGATTCAAAGTGCCAGTATGATTTACACTTGCCTGTCTAACACTCTTTATTTCAGCATATTTCTGTCTATATATACCAGTTTGACTGCTCTGGGCCAAATTTCACATAACTTAATACTTGCTATTTAAAATCCCTTAAAATATGTGTAGAAATTATCATGTATGTATTATGTTATTTCAAGCAAACATTCACAAAGTTAAAATTATTCTATATGGGATAGGGCCTTGAGCCCAGGTACCCAGGTGTACACACACTGTTCCATGACAAGTTCTCGACCTTTTCTAAAGCTGGCCATTTATGATGGAAAGACCTCCTGGCAAGTGGTGTATAAGACTCAATTCTCTATAGTGGTAGACACCACTGGATGGGATTTCCAAGCTAAGGCCTGTGCAGACACAGTGGATATCCTTCAAACTCTGCCTGAAAACCAGAGACTAGGCTTCTAAGCTCTATCCAGCATACTGCAGTTGAACTGTTGAGAGAAATGCTTAATAGATTAGCAGGTTTCAGTTGAAATATTGGTGACTAAAGCCCAAGGAAATGCTTTAGGAACTTGCCACGAATGTTTGAAAGCTGTCTCACCTTGCCTTTTTCGACTGCATGGAAATCCTATCATTGCATCAATGCAATACCTCATCAATGCTGTCCAGGATCCTGATGTACAAAAGGCCAGCGAATAGTGGATGTCTAGGGTTTAAAAAGTGCTTTAGTGCAATGAAATTTGAGGCAGCCCAGCAAACACCTTGTAGAGACCAACACTGAGTCAAAGCTGCTGATGTCCAGTAGCCATGGATCAAGTGACTGCATTGAGATCAAGTAATCTCAATCATCAGTTGAGGAAACATCTCTTATTATAGTTATAATAATAATGCTTTGGGGATTGTATATGTAAGTGATATGTAACTGGCAAATTTTTGTTTTCAAGTGGTACCATAATTAATTTACCTCTCAGCACAGCCACCATGCACTACATGGATAAACTGGAATTCTTTTAAAACACACCTAGAAAACCTGGAAAAGTTAAAAAATTTCATTCTCTTGTTTGAGTGGCAGGCAGCCTTGATTTAATAACTGATATTTTGTTTAATCAAGGAATTCTGTTTGATCAAGGGAAGTTGGGGAAATTGAAACAACCCTATGTACGTGTATATATATATATATATATATATATATGGATATCATGTCTGTCGATACATCAATAGAAATGATAAAAAACTACTGTGTGTGGAAATCTCATTAGGGTGTAAAATATAAACTAATTTTCTTATTAGTTGATTAAATGGAAAACTGCAAATCAAATAAACTGTTAAATTATGAATATTAAAAAAGTGTTGGTAATCATGTAATTTTGATCTACTATTTTAAATTAGGTATTTATTTCATACATGCACTATTAAAAACCACTTTTAAATTCAAACCTATGATAAATTGGCAAGAAAAAGAAATAATTAAAACAGCAAAAGCTTTTAGTGCCACCATCTGAGGAAAAACTTAACTAAAAATGGTAGATTGCATACTATATGATTAGAATTTATTATGTATAAAATAATTTTTTAGTACTTAGCTTAGAGTATGACCTGAAGTTTAATATATATATATGTACATTTTTCCCCCCCCATTTTCTGTAGGTACTGAATTTGAAGGTGCTATTATTGCCTTATTCCACCTTCTTGCAACTAGGACTGATAAAGTCAGAGCTTTGCGAGAAGCTTTCTATCGTCAAAACCTGCCAAATCTTATGAATCTTTTAGCTACAGTTCTTGTTTTTGCAATAGTTATTTATTTCCAGGTATGCGGAAATTAAACTTTGTATCTGTAAATGTAATTTTCAAATTTTTATACAAAATTTATTATGAAATTGTGTAAATATGTGTAACATGACATAAATTTTGTAAGTGTTGCTTTGTTTTGTAATGGATGTTATATAAGAATAAAAGTGTAAATGCAGATACATATTTTTGTATCTTAAAGATAACTTGATTATTGTAAAAATACAAAATTTTGAATATTGCTAGTGTCTGAAAGATAATCAAAAGTAAAATTTCTATCAGAATTCTGATCTGCATTTTTTCATTTCAAACAGAATAAAGGAATATAATTTTTCAATGTAGTTTTGTATTGCAAAAATATGTTTTGAGAGATTAGAATTTCCATTAATTCAAAAGTATTTTGCTCAGTTTTTTAAAATCATTTGTTACTAGATACTGTTGTTTCAGATTACTTTTCAAATAAGTATGCTAAAAACTCCAATATATATTTTAAATAGGTAATTGTTATTATTTTTTGTCACTGCTGGTCAGAGCAAATCGATAAGATCATTGAATACTGGTAGTTCAAATCCAAATGAATTGGCTGCTTGTATGCATGATTTTGGGATTTCTAACATGTGCAATATAAATATGAATCAGTTTCTCTTTAGGGAATTCTTCATGAAAGCATCTTTTATCTTAGGCAGATAATCCTTATGTGCTTTGTATTTAGTTAAAAGTTGTTTCTTTGCTTTAGTTTATATCCAGAAGTAGAATTGCAAGTGATTTCATTAGCATGAGAATTCTTAATATATTATAAGTGTATATATAAAATATAAGCGATTATAGCAAAATTTTTATATGTTTCAGTAAAACTGTATTTATTATTTTGCGTTTTAATGTTTCATTTTTGCAGTGTATATAAACTTTATGTATATAAATATTTTTTACTGCAGGGATTCAGAGTAGATCTGCCAATCAAATCAGCCCGCTATCGTGGACAGTATAGTTCTTACCCCATAAAGTTGTTTTACACTTCAAACATTCCAATTATACTTCAGTCTGCACTTGTTTCTAACCTTTATGTTATTTCCCAGGTAAATTTTTCAATTTCTTTCAACCTTAAAAATTGGATGTTAAGTTTAAATACAGATAAAACAAACTATATTTATATATTGTAATGTGTTTACATTAATAGATTAGCTGTTATATAACGGATCCATTTTCAATTTCTTTCAACCTTAAAAATTGGATGTTAAGTTTAAATACAGATAAAACAAACTATATTTATATATTGTAATGTGTTTACATTAATAGATTAGCTGTTATATAACGGATCCATTAAAACTTTTAAAGATTACTAAGTCACCCCTAATTTTAACTGTGTTTTATGTATAAAATTTTTATCTAATATGTGCATGTACTTATCTGACATTTTATTGCACAGATGCTTGCTGTGAAGTTCAGTGGAAATTTCCTTGTTAATTTGCTTGGAGTTTGGGCGGTATGTTTTATTTTTTTTCATCCAATTATATAAACTAAATCTGAAATATATTTGTTTCAATGAATTCAATTAAAAGTTTATTATTCAATGTACAATTTTTGAATAAGCAACAAAATTTAAAATGTATTTTTCATACTGATATTTTATGAAAGAATAACTTAAGGTCTAATACTCTTTAACTAGTTGTCAGTTTTGCTTGCAGAGCAGAAATTTGATTTTTGAGAAGGGAATCTATTTTGTAATTCTGATATATATGCAAAATGCTGAAATTTCAAAGTTTACTCAGTAGGAAATATTAAATTGGTATTAATTATTTATTTGCTAAGAAATCAGTGATATTGTAAAATATAATAGCAAAATTTCATATTCACAATGTACAATTTTTAAGGAATATAAAATCAATAATATGGGATGGTCAAAAATAAAACTTTGGAAATGAGATACCCACACCACATAATTAAATCAGGCTATGTAGAAGAGGATTGCCTGTATAATGTACAGATAAAACTGTTAAGCAGATAACGATCTTTATGCTTCTTTCTAAAATGAGCCTAAATAGGAGTGTAAAAAAAATTTTTACATTGGAAACAATTCTAATTTTTTAATTAGAAGTGTAATATTATGTTGTCATTAAAAATTTTTTTTGTCTTTCAGGATGTTGGTGGAGCTGGTCCAGCTCGAGCATATCCCATAGGAGGTTTATGCTATTATTTATCTCCACCTGAAAATTTAGCACATATATTTGAAGATCCTATCCATGCAGTACTATACATAGTTTTTATGCTGGGTTCCTGTGCGTTTTTCTCAAAAACATGGATAGAAGTATCAGGATCGAGTGCAAAAGATGTAAGTTTAATGGCTCCTTTAATATCATTTTGAGTAAAAATATATTTACGGAAGCCCCTTGGCAATAATTGGCAGTTTTTGGTGGTACATTTCCACCGAGTTCGTGCAAGTCTTGACTTGTTATTTTGGCTTTGCAAAAGATTTGGAAAGGCATGGAACAAGTTTCATGATGAAAAGAGACATTGTTTTCTTTTTTTTTCTAATGCAACTGTAAGCCATTCCTGTGGGTTGAGTGAATTTTCATTTTATGTAAAGCAGTTTTTATATACCTTAGAATAGTTTAATTCCAAAAAAGTTATAGATCAGCCCTTCTTAAACATTTTCAAGTGAGGATCACTTCTTTAAATTAGAATGTTCTGTAGACCATCTTACTCTTGTCCCCTTTGAAAGCAATTTTTTAGCATATATTACTACCAGTATCCTACTATTTTTAAATGCAGTTAATTAAAATTTATTTAATTTTTTATTCCTATTAAGTTATTAAATCAGAAGAAAATTCTTATTTGTTTTTAATAATTTAAGATTGTTAGAGTTTGGATAAATCCAAGGTCGGTATGCATATTAATGAGATGGACGAGCTTTCTGATTCTTGCATAGCTGTTTTGTATTTGGGTATAGTATATTTCTGTATTTGGAGTATAAAATGGTCACTGTTACAGTGCTTTAAATCTGTCTTTAGTTTTTAGAGTGGGAAGTCCGTAGATGGAATAGTTGGTAATAAATTTCTTAAAATGTCAGGCTTGGTTGGAAAAGTGTTTGACATGTGTAATTTCCAAACTCCAAGATTTTCAGCTATAGTTAAGAATGTATAGTTAATTTAAATTTTATTTTTGTACTTTTGAAAATCTAGGACAACCATAAAAGAAGGCTTCAAAAGACCGCAGAGTGATAAATTCTGCTGTAGATGGCTTGTAACTGTAATAAACTGTTAATGTATTTATTTGCATTATCAGTATTTCTTTAGGGGTGAAATACTTATTTAACCAAGTATACAGAATTAAATTATGGTAAAGCCACTTCTTAATTAGCATTGTGTATTCATCTAAAGAAGAGTTTAAAATGTATCGGATATGAAATAAAAATTACATTTTTTTTTTTTATTTGTAGTTTTGCTGGTTAATTTAGCCTCTGTATAGCAAAATTTAATTTAAAAAAAATAGAAAAGTAGGATTTGGATAATCATAATGCTTTTGTATTTAGATTTTGAAGTTAATTTAGATATAAATTTAAGGATCAGTTAAATATTTAGTTTGTTTTAATTCCTTATTAACCTTCTAAGCAGCTATACATAAAAAAATATTTGTCATGAAATCTAAGTACACAGACATGCATTTTGAAATATGTCCAGACAATTCATTTTGCATGTAAATATATTGGAAGAATTAGGATCAAGAGAGGGTCATTTTGGAATTATAATAAAAAAATTACCATTTACTCATGGTCGTTTAGGGTTTTGTTACCAAACCCTTGCATACTTGGAGGGTTGATCTATTTTAGTGATTGTGGAATGTAATGTAAAATTTCTTGATCAAATCATTCATTTTTGAAGATGATTAATGTAGTTTGTTTATGGTAATTTGTTTCTGATAATCTTCAGCCAAGTGAATCAAGAAATCATTCACCAAAAGATTTCTGTAGGTGTTAACCATTCACTTGCAGCTGAATGTGCAAGATTTGTCAGCAAATGAAATAGTTCAGATCTTAAGTTAGAGTCAAAAGATTTTAGTTTTAATGGATGCAGGGATACTTTGCCTTTACATATTTAATTATTAATTTGGATTTTACTTTTAAAGTTACAGCATCTGTTATTACCAGACAGTATATCTGTGTTGGGTGAAAAAAATTGGCTGATTTTCAATTTAAAAAAATTACTTTTAAAAAACTGAATTTTTAAGTAGTCTTGAAGTGGGATTTCGTAAAAAGAAATATAAATGTAAGTTTTGCACTAGATTAACTTGTTCTAAAATATTTTTCACATCAAGTAATGTGTGGAAATATATAGTAATTACTTTTTAATCATCGAAGTTTCTTAACAGAATCTTCACTTTAAATTTGATTTTACAGACTTACTGTGAAATTAAAATAGTGTAAATCTAAAATTAAGATCAGAATAAGTGTAAGAATATAAAACACTAAAGAGGTTTTGATTTATACTGAAAATATACATTTTCCTTTTAGGTTGCCAAGCAGTTAAAAGAACAGCAAATGGTTATGAGAGGCCACAGAGAAAAGTCAATGATTCATGAGTTGAATCGTTATATTCCAACAGCAGCAGCATTTGGTGGCCTTTGTATTGGTGCTTTATCTGTTCTTGCAGATTTCTTAGGTATATATAAATATTTTTTTAATTTAAATACTTTTACTGAACATGTGTTCATATTTTGCATTAATTGACTGATGGAGTTCATAAAGGTCTTAACATTGTGTCATTTATTATCAATGTCAGAACAGATTTTGTCATGTCCTGGACATCTTGAAATTTAGGTTACTTAAAAAGTTTAGACTATAAAGGGGGCATTTGTATACTTGGAAATACACTCTATAACATGAAAAGTGATGCACCAAAGAGTTATCTAAATGGTACAAAATTGCGTATACCATAAAATAAAATTACAAATGATTAACTTTTGGTACCCTGTGACTGACTAATTGGAGCTGTTAAGGCATTGTAGTATTTGGATGACCTATGAAACAGAAAATATTCTAACTGCTAAGGCATTGCTTCCATTTACATGTTGTCCCGTTGGTCCATGTGACTTTTTCAATGCCCCACAGACAGATTCTTACAAATAGTATTAGCATGTCATCCTTCAAGAGAGGGTATGCAGTTGAACTGACAGAAGCGGGGTGGTCATAATTGTAGGATAGTTAATTTGAGTTGGAGCAATACTATCATTTGACAATGTTGGCAAGAGTGGGTAAACCATTATCATGGCGAACGTCAAGAAAGAAGTAGTCAATCAAGAGCAATGACAGAGTGATAGTACAATTAGAGGTCACGGTCCATGATGCTTCCTTCTCAATGACCCAATGTATAATGAGAAGACCAATGACTGCAAGGACCACTGATAGACAACTCGGCAGATGGGGGTTGAGGTCATGGAGGCTATTTCACCCACAGACACTCACCATTGTACACATGCAAAAATATTTGCAGTGGTAGCAGGTGCAGTCGATCTGGGATTTCATGAACTGGAGTAGAATTATTTTTAGGAATGAGTAATAAGCAAGTTTCAACAATATTGATGCTTCAGCAGTTGTTCAGTAATTTTAAAGTGAACTCTATGACCAGCTAAGACATGTTTGGCAACGTCCAGGAGAGCAATGGGATATTCATTTGATTGTCATCTGCCACACAGCCTGGGAACCAGAAGTTATGGTATGGCATTACTCTCCTGGTTGTACGAGAAGATGCCTGGCCTTCCATCACATCTCCTGGTAGATCATCCAATTTCCTGCAGCTTTGCGCAGAGGCAGTGTCATAGCCAATGAGGTACTACCGAGGCGACTATTGCTAGTTGAAAACCCAATCTCCTGCTATTTAATTTTTAAACTTTACTAAGGAAAATCTTTCCCAGCAACACATGAAATTTATTAAATTAATGAGACTTAAATTAGGCAAATTCCATTTCCCCCCCCCCACCTCTATGATTTTTCAGAATAATTTTTCTGATTAAATTTTATTTTATCTGCGCTGTATTTTTTCTTATCATATTTTCTTGATCTTATTAAATGTCATTTGAACTGAGTAATTTTAATCTACTTACTTTCACTTGTCATGATTGTTAAGGATACTCTTTTACAGCTATAACTTTTTATTGATAACTTCAAACTAAGTTCACATATCACTCACACAGCGGTTCTCCACCATTCTCTTCGTCCCATCTCTGCCGCTCTGTGCTCGGGGGTGCTGCTGCTATTAGAGCATGTGCAAACATGCCCCTCCAGCATTGAAATGTTTATAAAACATTTAATCACTAAACTATATGAGACATCTCACTGTACTTTACAAATTATGACACTTCAGTAACATAACTATGTAACATATAGTACTTTAGCCATAATACAATACATAACACAAGAAATAAAATAATTCTCATTAAAAGTTAACGTATACACAATGTAAAGCAATATCTCTTATACACTTAATATATAACAATTTTCATTCAGGCATAGGTAAAACACAGATTTTGGAAATACATCTTTTGAATACACCTGCTTTTGACACAAAACATACAAATATGCAAACATATATTTTATGTAAAATTCCTTTTCTTTGATTACGGTATCTTATAAAAAATGTACCACAGAAGTCCATTCCACTGCAATTAAAAGGAAAATCTGGTACAACTCTGTCTGATGGGAGATTTCCCATTATTTGTTTACACACAACTGGTTTGTTTTTAAAACATACAATACAATCATGTACAACTTTACGACAAATAGATCAATCATTTAATGGCCAGAATTTTTCGCACGCGTGACTCAATAATGCAGTTGCACCAACATGCAAAAATCTTTTGTGACAATGTTCAATAACTAATAAAGTAAATTTGTGAACTTTAGGTAATATTGCTGGATATTACTTACATTGTCTTACTAAATGGCCTCTTACTCTGAGAACTAAATCAGAATCAAGGAAGGGATACAGATTCTTTAACTTTTATGTAAGACAGTTACGTGCCTTATTAATTGGCGGATGTCTTCGCCAAAGCATTCACTTTGAGTTACTCTTATCAGGAACAATTCTGCTGTTGTTATTTCCTGTACACTAATTGGTCTTGACAATCTGTCTAAGGGCTTTTTCAAAGTATTCATGAAAAAGTGTCTTTAGAGTCTTTATTATATGGGGTTTTGAGTTCGGCACTGAACTCCTCACTTTTATCTGAGATAGTTACTGTCCCAGTTGGATAGTCCCTGTCCACCAGAAACGCTGGACCACACCACCACAATTTATGATGCATTAGCTTATCAGGATCTACACCCCGTGACAGGAGATCTGCCGGATTCTGATCTGATGCCACTGTTGAACAGATGAAAGTTCTTGAATTTTGGCCACTCTATGCTGAACAAATGTCTTAAGGTCCATAGGTTCCTTTTGTGTCCATGCGAGAACTATCATTAAATCTGTCCATAAGTAGTTTTGAGTCACTTCTAATGTCAAGGCGATAAGGACTTTTCTCACCAACTTTGATAATAAGACAGCTGCACATAGCTTAAGCTTGGGAATCGTTAGGCTTTTAAGAGGAGCAACTCTTGATTTACTCAAGAATAATTTTACCAGTGTTCTCCCAGAAGAATCGATGGACTTGCAATAAACTGCTGCTCCAAAACAACGTTCAGAAGCGTCAACAAAACCATGGATCCCAAGTGTTTTAGCTTGATCAATCACTATACGTCAGTCAATATTGATACTGTTTATGCTGTCTAGTGTAACCAGAAATTGATGCCATTCCTGATTTTCAGCAGTAGGAAGTCTATTGCTCCAATCAATTTTAAGATGCCACAGCTTCTGCATGAAAATCTTTGCTTTGGCTATAACTGGACCAAAAAGACCCAAAAAATCAAATATTCTGGCAATCGATGATAAGACACATCTCTTAGTATATGATACGCTAGGCTCTACTAATAAGGAATAAGGAAAAGCAATCCTTTATTGGATTCCATGACATGCCTAAGGTTTTCGTTTCAGTTGGATCAGAGAAATTGTATTCTTCCCGGTTTAGAGAAAGTTTCGAATGATTTGCGCACCATTTATGCAACTGTATGCCTGCTCTTTGCAAAATTGATATAAGCTGCTGTTGTAACTCCTTAGCCTCTTTTAACGTCCGCATAACATATCATCCATATAGAAATTTTCACTTAACACAGGTGCTGCCAATGGAAAATTACTCTCTTTGTTTAATGAAAGCTGTTTTAGTGTCCTCATTGCTAAGAAGGGAACACTGACCATACCATACGTAACAGTTACCAGTTCATATGTCTTTGCCTCATTAGCAATATCACTCCATAGGATTCTTTGAAGGCTGTGTTGACCTTTATCTATCAAAGTCATCCTATACATCTTTTTCACATCGTTCGTTAAGGCATATACGTGAATTCGAAATCCGATCATTATCGAAAGTAAATTTTGTTGTATAACTCCACTGTTATACTGGAGAAAGTTGAGTGAAATATCGTTAGTTGTTAAACTTGAACAGTTAAACACAACTCTTAATTTAGTACTGGTTTTTTCTGTTTTATATATTCCATGATGTGTTGCATAATATGCCACTTCAGGCTCTTTCGCTTCTTTAACTTCCTTCATATGTTCTAGTAGAATATACTCATGAATGAAGTAACGATATATAGAGAGATAATTTGGATATCTCGACAAGCAAGTCCACAGCAATCTCGCACTTCATACATTGTTAACTTAATGCACATGTCTGAGAGCCTGAGTCCAATATACATCTCACCTCTTCCCACTGCGAACAGTTATTTTTAATTAATGCTCGAACTTTACTCAGTAGAACATTCTTTGCATTAGCTTTCGCAAAACTAGAGGCGATGACAGATTTATTCAGGTTTGACTCGTGTATAGGGGGGGAACTGCATCTTCACCAATTCAATTTCTGGTCTGCAGTTCAAGGACATTCGATGAAATCTTGCAATCGGGCTTATTTTTATTTTGTCTTTTATTTGTCTTTATTCTTGTATGAATTAATTTATTATGTGGTTTGCCACAGAAACAATTTCTTGCACTATATTCAATGGACAAACATTTGAAACATGCCTTTATCATACCTGCCAACTTTTATGAATTTTTCGTAATTTTTACGAAAATGCGTTTGTCTTTATGATTTTACGATCGTAATCCATTTTTTAAGATTTTTTTCCTTCTTCAAGTGTTTTTAGTGATTTTTGTCGAAATTTTAGAATTTTTCACCAATTGCATCGTGTTTTCCCGCCAGCTACCGACTACTTCGAATCCGTTTGTTAACAATTAAAGAAAATGAATGCCATAATGATGCTTTAGATGAACTACAGAACCAATTTTCTGCTGCACAGTTTGAAGACTTTGCCAGTTCTGGAGAAGATAGACTTGATGTTCTCGTTGGTACCTTAAAAAGAATAAAAAGAGCTGATGGAATACCAAAATATGATAGACTAGCAAGAATTTTATGTGCTATTCTCGTAATTCCACACAGTAATGCTGAGTGCGAGAGAGTCTTCAGTGTTGTGAAGAAAAACAAAACTGTTTTGTTCTTCAGTTTCACCAAAAACTCTAGAAAACATTTTAATTGCTAAATGTTATGAGGAAACTTATTGTTATGACAGGAAATTTTCCAAAGAATTTTTGGCTAAAGCCAAAAAATGCACTCTAAATTCATTGCAATAATTTTTTTGTGTAACATTAAGTTCTTGTTTTATGTTTCCTAATAAATTTTTTAGTTGCTACTTAATTGAGATTTACTAATGTAAGTACAATTTTCTTTTTTCTATTTGTATAAATTGTTATTTTTTTAATATCAAAGCATGATATTAATTCTTCGTGTTCTTCTGAATTTGGGGGAGAAATCTTCTGAATTTTTATCTTTAGAGGTTGGCAGGTATGCTTTATTCATCTTAACAGCTTTTACTCTTTCAGAAACTGAAAGTTTTTAAAACTGCGGGCAAAAATTTAAAGCGTGGACTTCATTATTTTTATACAAATTACATCTAACACCTTTAGCTTCCGAAAAAAACACGTTCTAGACCTTTTTTTGAAAACGCGCATTCTGAAACTTTTGCTGTTTGTGACCTTCATGCTGTTTAATTTTGATTCTGTTAGAAGGTTTCGTAAATATATTATATTCACTTTTATCTTTATCCTTTGAAGTTAAACAAATGTTGCACTCTCGTCCTAGCTGTTGTGGGTTAAAATATGATTCTCTTTGTTTTATTGCAATATGTGTCATCAATTCATGATCAAGTAAACCGAATATTTTATCTGATACAATTAATTCACATAATGATTTAAAATCACTCACTTTATGCAACTGACAATAATACTCAAATGTAGCACTTAATCTTGAAGCAAATTTACATAACTCTCTGAATGTAATTTTTACGCTCTTTGAAAACTGTTTAAACACTCTTGTGGCGTTGGTTGAAATTCTTTCAACACTATTGTCTTAAGCTTATCATAACTGCACAAGTCTTCCTCAGTCAAATGAACCATTAAATTATTCGCTCTCTCACCCAGAATATTTAAAAGAATTTCCGATTTTACCTCATCAGGCACACTTTTGGTTTTAAACGCTTTCTCAAGGCGCTGGAAAAAAAGATTAAATGACTCTACTCTCAAAGCCACTGGGATACACAGCCTTTTAATACTTTTAATTAAATTTTCTAAACTGTCCTTTGACGGTTCTGCTGTCAAACACGGCATATTCAGAGACAGTTCCTTTCACATATTTGCGATTTCAAGTTCTTTCTCCAATTGCGCTAGTTTGATTTTCTCTAACTCTAGCTTTGTTTCGTTGAGTTTTTGTAATGAAATTTTTGACTTGGTTTCGGCTTTGTTTTTTCTCTTCTTCAAGCGCGTAATCAACTACGCTTTTAACTAACTCAGGATCGGTTTTGAACATTTTACTATTCTCTAGCAAATTTTTGAAATCAATAATTTTTTGCATCTTCTGCAACAGTTAGACCTAACTCTGCAGGGACAAGCTTTAATTCGTCTTTCCTTTATTTAGCAATCAAAGACATCATTTAAGTAAAGTTAATTAAGGTAATTGCTTATACCTCAAATCACTGAGATTGCTCACTCACTGTATGGACTCTATGGGAATCACCGTCACTCATATGCACTTCGTAATCCAACAGTTTTTCACATCATCCACAGGCCTCTGGCTTCTTCATGACGGACCATGTTAAGGATACCCTTACACAAAATAATCATATTTACTCTTTCACAGCTATAACTTTTTATTGATAACTTCAAACTGAGTTCACATATCACTCGCACAGCAGTTCTCTGCCATTCTCTTCATCCCATCTCTGCCGCTCTCCGCTCAGGGGCGCTCCTGGTATTAGAGCATGTGCAAACAATGATTTTCTTAGTATAAAAGTGTAAGAATTTTTAAAAAAGAAATTAACTACTAAAGAACATAAATTTTAGAGTATCCAATTGAATGTTGGTGTATTTTACATTAAAAATGAACTACAGATAGTTCAATTACCTGAACCATGCATTATAAAGTGAATAAAAGTCAGTTTGAGTGTCTTTGTTATGGTATCGCAATGCAATTTGAAAAAACCTTTCAGTTTTTAACATTTCATTGTTGGCAGCTATGGTACGAGGTCTCATTTCGGTTGATAGCCAGACCCCTTTAATTGTCATCTGTGACATCCTTACAGCACAGTAATACATTGACGAGATTCTACGTCCTGTAGTGTTGGCCTTCTTTCACTGATCCCTGGGCTTACATTTCAGCAGGATAATGTCTGGCTGCACATGGCTTGTCTTTCTGCTGCTTGTATTTGTGCTTCTCTTCTCTTTCCTTGTCAGTATAATTGCCAGATCTCTCCCAAATTGATCAGGTTTGATCTGCAAGCAACTTGCAGGAGGATTTCTCCAACTCTAAGTCAGTGCGTAGCCAGGTAACTGCTTCATTTAGGGCCAGAGGTGGCCCAGGGATTTTTTTTTTCCCTCTTGTGGCTGTATTTCCTGAATGAGAGATTTAATTCCTATGATAGTGTGAACGTCCATTGTGATTTGCATCCCATTAGGATAACTCCTTGATGTGTCCCTTTTTATGTTGTAGAATGTATACACTTAGCTTTTTCACTGTGCATATTTTTGTTCTTACTTTTTTAAGCACAAGTTTTAAATTTTATTCATGAGGGGTTAATTATTTCTAAGACTTTATTACAGCAAATCAAATGCATATATTATTTTTGAAAATTTTGAGTCCCATTGTGATGAAAGCTGGATAATGTAAGGAAGTCATAACCAGTGAAACATTTGTTTCTGATGTTTCATAATTATCAGCTGACTTTTCAGATATTCATAGACTTCTAATTGGCAGTAAATGAGGGATAGCAAATGATATACGAGCTGTACAGAGATGTGCGAGATTACGAGTAGTGAAGTTTTATTTCTGCTTTATTTCTGTTAGTTAATGAATGTTCTCAGTTACATTGTTTTCAATACTACAACATAAAAACTTTGTTTACTTTTGCCGTTTTATATGTTCATGCATCATTAATATTACCTGAAACTCAAATTAGGGATTAATTTTGGAATGATGCATTTCAGAAAGCTATATTAAGCATATTGTTGTTTTGGGGATAGGAAAGGGAAATAACAAAAACAACAACAACAACCAAAAAAAAAAAAAAAAAATTAAAAATTAAAAAGTTAAAATTTTCTTGTATCTATTCCTCGCCTTACATATGTTAAAGCAGTTCTTTTTTAAATATACTGCAATATACAAATATTGAAATAATATAAATATTATATTCTAAATATAAATATTTATAATATACAAGTATTGAAATTAACACCTTTCAGCCATATTAGTATGTATTGGACATGTATAATTTTTATGTAGTTTAAGAATTTTGACTTTGCTATCTTTGTTTCAATAACATAAAGTTTATTCATCATTCTCCTGTCTTTGTTTTTTAATTACAGGAATTTGAATTTCATGAGTTATTATCCAAATATCTGTGTGTTTGCATATAAACATTTCCCTAAAATTTGATTTTGTCTGTTTTAGACACATTTTTTTTAGATTTGCATTATTTAATAATTACCACAGAAATTGACTCCAGAATTGTTTTATAAAAAAGAACCATAGGCCAAAAACTAGTTTTCTAGGCACAGAATAGTTTACAGCAGTTGATCAAGCATATCAATTCCAATTTTAGATTATTGTTAATCATTTGAAGTTTTATTTTCTTTGTTAACACTTTTGCCATGTAGAAAATTATATAGAACAAAAAAATTTTCAAGAACATATGAATGAATAATTATCTATTAAATCCAAATTCTGATGGCCAAACTACATTTGCTTGATCTAAACTGGGGTGGAATTTTAATAGCAATTCATTTTCAAGGCACTCAGGGGCTGGCAGTCTCTTAATTTTGTGCACCCTGTTAATGGAAACAGTTTGGCAATGTTACATTTTTGGTTAGTTTTTCTTGACAGATTGTTTCCTTGGCAGGATGTTATCAGAAAAAATGTAAAAAAAAAAAAAAAAAAAAAAAAAAAAAGGAGGATTTGTTAAGATCTCAGACAAAAAATTAAATATTTGAAATGATTTTTTGTTGGGAGAAAAATAATAATTTGAATTTAAAGGGGGAAAGATAACATGTAGAGTCCATACACAGGCACACAATGATTATAACAACACTGCCAGATATATGCAAAAATGTTTCCTACCAGCAGTTCAGAAGGTAAAAGTAAATTATATGGCTTTAATTGTTATCTGTTTTAGAAGTTTAGGAAATAAAAACAAAAATGTGATCCCATGTAAGGATATGTCTCATATGTGAGGTTAAGGGTTCAAGTCCACATTTCTGTTAACCCCTTAAAGAACCAATACAAATTCAGAAATTGCTATTTTTTCTGCCAGTTTTTTTAATCTTCAACTCAAAACTGTAGCAGATGTATTTTATTGCATTCATATCTTTAAAAAAAATTGAATGTATTTATTCAGGTGTACGGAAGTAATTTAATTTGGTGTGCTGAGTTAACTCAGTTGAATGCATTAAAAGGTTTATTACATCTTGTTGATATTTGAAATATATTTGATGTATATTTGATTTTAAATGAACCTAAAATTGTAAATTTATATCATTATATAAGGATTAATAACATAATGTTCATTTTGTGAAATGCATTTTAAATTCTTGCATGAGATACTTACTAAGCATTAAAATTTACTTTACAGGTGCCATTGGAAGTGGTACTGGTATTCTATTAGCAGTCACAATTATATACCAGTATTTTGAAATCTTTGTAAAAGAACAGAGTGAAATGGGAGGAATGAGCACACTACTTTTCTAAAATGAACTTTATTAGAAATCAGCGGTTTTACATTATTTCATTAGATACAGTATATGCTGTAACTCTCATCTCACAGAAGAATGGATATAAAGAAATTGTGAAATTTTTTTTCTAAGGAAGTGTGTCATTATTTCACCTGTTGATGTGTTTTGTAATGAAATTATTCATTCAGAAATCTAATAGGATTCATAGTTATTTCCTTCATAGTTATAAGTATTTAAATTGCATTTAATAACTTTATATAATCTAGAATAATTTCTGAAAAGATCTGTATTTTTTTTGGGGGGGGTGTCCTGTAGGATATTAAAATTTTAATATCCTAGAAAGCGGATTTTTTCAGGCATGATAAATTACACTTTTGCTTGTTTATTTATGAAGTTGGTTTCATCTTTTATTTTTTAGCAATCATATGTCTTTTAATTTCTGGTATTTTCAGATTAAGGAATAATATCTGAATTAGTATTGAATATCTTTTACTTTACTGATATATGAAAAATTGCATGCCAATTAAAACAATAATAGGTTTTATTATCAGTGCTTGAGCAGAAGACTTAAAATATGGTGTTCAAGGAGGCTCATGATTAACAACAGGTGCAAAAATTGCACTCCTTTCCACAGTATTTGTAGGTTTGTTCTGAATATGTCAGACAAATGAGATGCGAGAGCATTGTTAGTGCTTAACCAGTAACCAACACGTGGTCACATTTTTATCAGGGCAGATTTATATATATATATACACTGTTAGTGCTTTAAGATCTAAATAGATGAAATGAAATGTGTAGATTAATTACTTTAATACCTAAAAAGGGGGAGGTTAGAAAATATTGAATCAAGAATTTTTTAATTTAGAAATAGCAGTTTCTAAAAATGCTTAGTTTTTTAAAAACCCAGAAATATTAGTACATCATATTGCATTGATGCGATCAAATATTAAATATCTGTGTTGCATTTTGAAATCATACATTTTAATTGTTAAAGAGAATGATTGTTTCTGATATACTGACTGCAAGATCCAACATATCATCATATACTTTGCACCTATTTTTTGAAAATCCCTCCCTAAAAATTGTCATATCCTGCATTATATTTTTCAGAAGACAGTCTTTGCATTTGACATATTCTTCTCAAAGGCAATAAAATAAAAATTTTGTAATGTCAAAGGAAAATTCAGAAATAATCTTATTATATAGTGTGTTGCAGTAAAATTTTGATTCTGGATCAACATTTTATCTGAAAGTTACGTAATAATTTTACATGACTGAGCAAATAATTAAGATCTGGTATAAAATGAATAACCTGATTGAGACACTGGATTTATCCATTATTGGTATTGATATAATATATTGATTCCTTTAAAGTTCTTACTTAGGCTTCCATTTTGGCTCTGTGGTCCAAGATTGATTCAGACTTGTATTATGCATTTTAATAATGGTATTGCTCATGTTTGCATATTTTCTCACATTGTGATAAAACAGTGTAGCAAGAATTATTATTTTAACAAAGCAGTGAGACAAAGAGTACTTTTATATTGCTCTTGTAGAATTCCTTAATTTTTACCAGTACCTTTGGATTGTTGCAAACACTGGATTTTTTTCTGAGAAAGGATTTATTATTTAAAGAAAAAATATTACATAATTTAAATGCAAAGGTACAGTAGCATGCAGAGAAAAAATACATACCTGTTGTATTAGGTGTAATCTTCAAAACTTCAAGCTTCAAATTTACTGTTTTTAAAGCTTTCAAAATTAAATGCTGATATATTGTAAATGACTTATATATCAAATAAATATTATGATAATAATAAATTTAAAATATATCAAATAAATTTATTAGTATTAAATGTAAAATTAATTCTTTTGTTTTGTTCCAAACATGCTTCTAGCCATATTAATTAATTTTTAATTTTACAATTTTAGTATTTTGACTAGTATTAGTATCTTTGTTAATGATATTAGTATTTAGTATTATTCAGTTGATATTATCCATAGTTTCTCTTTTTCCAAGAGAATATTAAGATACTTGCTAATATTTATGATGTTGGAATTTTTTCTTTTTTAAATCTATTTATTACCTTGTAATAAGTAAGATTAATAATGAACTAATTTATTAAGTGTAGCATTTTACTTCATTTTATCCAAGTACTTTTGTTGTGTCTATATAAGTAAAAAATGTGTACCTTTTGTATGTAGCTCTCTATCTTAGCAAATATTACGATTTATTAATGACAGATAAATATATAATATTCGAAGTGGAAAATGTTTGTTATCATTTAGGAATTCATTAACTATCACACATTGTTTATACTAGTAATAGTTTGCTACAAATGAAAGTAAACTGTTATCCTTTTAGAAATTAATGAACTGGAAAATAAATACAAAAGTTCAAGAGGCAATGAAATGAATATCTCTATTTTGAAATAGAATGTTTAATAAAGAACTAAAAGAATATTAAGAGTAATACCAAAGAATTGCAGTTTCTAAGTTATTTCTAGAAATAAAATATAACTATCTGCAAAAGAATTGTTATTTAAAATAGAAATAAAAAAATGGATAAGAACTTAATGAAATATAGTTTCTTCTTTTCAGAATACATATCTGCCAAGTTTTACAAATTTTCAATCTTTTGTTGTGAAAACACAATTCTGTGACTTTGCCAACTTGCTGTCAAATCTGTATTAAAATTTGTATCTTTTTGAAAGACATGTCAAGTTACTATTTGAATTCCTTTCCATTGCATCAAAAACAAATTCTTCCCTTTCTGGAATATGAATGCTTATATTGCACATCGCTAATTTTAAATTCATTTGCTTACAATATTTTGGTTCCACTGTTTGTGAATTTCATATGTTCTAACAAATGAAATAGCATTATTACAGTATCATTAAAACACTATATTAAAATGACATTTTTAAGAAAGCATTAAATTGAAATGTTTTAAATCCTTTTTTGTCACTATAAAGTTTTAATAATAAATCACAGTTTTCAAATTACTTTGTAGCAAAAGTCAGGAAGCTACTCAACTAATTTTCCCAATTTTTAATGATAGTTTTTTTTCCCATAGAACTGTTTCAGAATTTCATGTATGGGCTAGTTTTCTCTGTAAAATTAATTTAAAATTTTTTGTTTCTATATTTTCTGATTAACACCTTAATTGTTCTACCCATCTCTCATAGGGGCAGACATTACAAATAAATTTTGTCTCGCCCGTATATCACAGGGCTATGCTTTTGCAATACAAATTCATGGAAATTCCAATTTTTAACGTGCCCATATAAATTTTATTTACACAGTTGCTTCACAGATGGCAATACAGTACTTCTAATTTGATTATACAACACTATTTTGTAGATGTAGAATATGTTTTGAAAAATCAATTTCTATGTTTTTTTTTGGCTTGTTTAATTATGTATATGAATATCTAAATCATATTACAAATATATGAGTAGCTCAAGTGAGCGAGAGGCTTTGTCTTGAAACAACAGGAAGTGATTGAGGACCAGCTTTTTTTTTTTTTTTTTTATTTATTATTTATTTATTTATTTATTTCAGATTTTTTTCATTTTAAATTATTGGAATTTGAAGGTAGTAGTAATGGTGTGTTAATAGTGCACAACTTTTACCGGGGCACTAATGGAATGAATCCCAGATATTTGTCCTCCACCTTTTCAGTTCGAATTATTACCCGAAGTTAATATTTCATTTCTAACTGATTCAGGCATTTTACAATATTATGAGCATTTTAAAAATGATGAAATAGTGGACATTATTGTAAAAGAAACTAATCATTATGCTGAGCAATCAGGTATGTTGGTAAAAGAAAACTGAAAGGTAGAAAAGAATGGAAATCGTTATCACAACATGAAATGCATCTGTTCCTTTCGCTTTCAGTTTTACAAGGTATCAAAAAACCTGAAGAAAGCATCGGTTTTTTTCTCCCTTCAGATTATGTCATATGATCGATAGTGTGAAGTAAAAAAATATTTGCATTTTGTGAATGATGGTTCTCATAATCCAGAAAAATAATCCTAACCCCAAACTCTGTAAAATTTGGCCTATATATGATCGTTTGAATAATGTATATCAAACTATTATCACAGATGAAACTTTGGTATTGTACAAAGGACACTTATATTGGCACTAATATATATCCTTAAAAAAAGCAAAATAGAAATCAAAACATACATGCTAAGTGAATCTAGTACTGTTTATATATTGTCATTTATTATATACTGAAATAGATAATTTATTTAATCCTAAATTCTGATCTCTCTCGGTATATTCACAAGTTACGACTGTTATTGTAGCCAGTTCAGACCTTTGCTTTTGATGATGCAATTATTGAAACGAGGCTGCACCTTAGATCATTATTGTACTTCACCGGAATTGTGCGATATTCTTTTGACTTATTAGATCTAAGTGGTTGGAACTGTTAGATAAAGCAAAAAGTATTTACATTTAGCATTAAAAAGTTAAAATCTGACGAAGTTATATCAGTTAGCACCCAAAATTTCTCGCTCTGAAATCAATATACAAACAGGTAGTAATGTTATTTCTTGATTCTAGAACTGTTTAAGTAATGATATCAAGTATAGAATTGAAAACAAAAGCAGAGGTCATAATTAACTACAATAAAACAGAGAAATGTGGATCTGGTAGATCAATACCTTTCTAATTATCAACCAGGAAGAAATGGTGAGGGAAAAATATTTAAAAATTTTCTTTCACCTTTTTAGATCAAGCTGTTTTCAATGCTTTTCAAGTGTGTAAAAAGAAAGGTTGGGAGGGGGAAATTGCATATAGAGTTTAGACTGGATTTAGTCAAAGTAACTGATAACTGTCATAGTTTTATCCATTTTTCAAGACAAGGTTGTCCATTTAATGATGTGTCACCAAATTGTCTATTTGAACAACAGTTTTTGGAACTTTACCACCTACAGAGAAAAAAGAAAGTCCTGTTGGAGAAGAAAAGTATATTCCTAAGAGAAGAATGAAAATGGAAAATCATTAGGAGAGAAATAATGTACAGTCTCGCCTTTTGGGGGGGGCAGTAGCTAGGGACTGCATAAAAAAATATTCTGAAATTTCATAAATGAAAAATAATTTTTTTGTGTGTGTG